TACTGATTTATCCATGTGGTTTAAGGATAGTAACATATAAAATCGATAAAAGGATTTCAACGGGCGATAAGACGAACTTTTGAATTCTTAGTAGTGTCCATTGAATGAAAAAAAAAAATTAAACTAAACCATGCACGTAACTAAGAAAACGTTTGGTTCATAGATTATAATCATTTTCAATTTACGTGTATTTTGTGTGAGAAAAAATACTGTAACGAACTATGAACCATAATTTGAATCGGAGTACGAATCCCTCAACCAAATAACCCCTAAATTATATATATATATATATATGCGCGTGTGTGTATTATATTAATTCAAAATAAGAATGATATTGGCAACTGTTCCAGTATAAACAAGCTAACGTGGTTTTTCGTTTGTGAAACATGCCAAAAGTGTGTAACTTAGAAATATTCATATTTACATAGTAGCTAGCTAACTTTGCTCGTTATTTAAGTATAGAATTGAATAAGATTTTCGGCTCATTATGGAAGTCAATTGTTGTGATGTTTTCACATTTATATTATAATAGCCTCCTTTGATACACAATTGGTCTTTAGCAAAAACCTTGAGAGGCAAAGAGAAACATCATAATATGGCAATGGAAGCAACCGCGTAACATACCAAAAAGGCCAAAAAGGTAAGCAACTCCAACTTTTCCACTTTAATTTTGTTGGTTACTTTGGTGCACAATGCCCTTTTTAATTCTCTTTTTGGTTTGGTTTTTCTTTTAACAAGCTTATATATATACACACACACACACACACATATACATATTGGGAGCGAATAAAAGCTACCGTGCTTTGCTTTCGTATTACTGAGAAGGAAGGAAGCCTATTATTCGGTGCCACAACCAGCAAAAGGTTTGATATAGCATCACCACATGGCCAGCAGCTTTTTTTATTTATTTATTATTATTATTATTATTTTTTATCCTCTAAACGTGCTTTATTGTACTTTATGTTTTGATGGGGCACAAAATTAAAAGTCTTATTTATTTTTTTTCTTGAAAGAAAGAGGGTCCTTAGTGATCCGTCTCTCATTTTTATCGTTACATTAAAAAATTTCGAGACCCACACATAAAACATAAATAACATAATTCAATTCTATTTAAAAAATAGATTTAATTTTTACTCATACCACCACGACACACTCAATACCGCACAATATATTAAAAATCCCGATAATAAATGAGATTTTCTTTCTTTTCCTTTTTTAGTTGTATGAAATGGCTTTGGGAGTTTGTAAGCTACCAATAGAACATGCAGATTCCCATTTGTCACTTTGTCGGTCGTACTATTGATTTTACTTACATATATGTACCATTCATACATATATATAATCATAATGCATTAGGTTAATGTTCCTTGACACATCACCATGCTCAGCTTTTTGTCCCTCAAAAACCTTATCTTTTTGCTCCTTTCATTCGCCAGCTAACTCATTTCTTTATTTTTTTTCCCCTTTAGTCATCAATATTTGTACCTTAACCCCAATACTTTTTTGGTTTAATCATTCTTTAAGTGTTTGAAATATTTTAAATATATGGGGTGATCACTAGAATCAAATCACAAGAGATTAGTAGTACTAATAATACTTAGCTACAACAATTAGTCTCTCAATTTGGTAATGAACAAAAAGCACAAAAAATTTCACATCAATATTAATGATGACAAAAAAATCTCAACTAGCCCCATCTTTTATGAGTCTTGTTTATAATTGGCCTCCCCTTTATTAGCATACCCCAACAAAATGTTGGCAAAAAATACAGTACCGAAGCTCATTTTAAGGAGGAGTGTTTATCCAAATAGACTCATAAATTAATTAAAAAAGTATCACTACCCAAAAAAAAAGTAACTATAATCATCAATTTATAATGGGGTTTGAATTGTCATACCCCAACTTGTTTATAATGTCAGCTTCGTTCATTTCACTGATTCGAGTTTAGAATTTGAGTTTTACTACAGTAAAAAACTCTCACAAACAGTCACATCTAACTTTTTTACTACAGTAAAAAGTTTTCACATAAAATCACATCTCAACTCAAATTAAAAACTCGAATCAACAAATTAAACAGACCCTAACAAAAAAAAAATGTATAGAATTTTGACCAACGTTAGACATGTGGGGTTGCAATTTTTTCTTGACCCAAAAAAGAAGATAACTAGAAATATATATTGCGAAGATACGACACTGACATCTGAGGTAAAGATTCTGTGGGGAGAACAATCAATGAACTCCATACAATTCCTGACATATAAGGAAGTCGTTTGATTTATGATTTGGACTGATTCAAACCGGCCCAACACAGAGAGATGAGGTTCTTAAGTCATGGTCTTCGCCTAACACATCACTCTCATGATTCAAATACTAAATAGTCAAAGACTTAAACAAATTTTATTCAGCAAAATTTAGCCACTCTTTTGACGTGTTCAAGCAAATGTGACCATTGATGCATATTATTTGATTGCAACCCATTTTCTAAACAAACGAAAGTAATGGCTTAGAAGAACAAAAAGAAGAAAAAGTAAATAATCTGATTGGCGGATTTAAATGATTCTTATTTGTTCTATAAGTACCGACAGATATATGGTCAAAATCAAGGGGGAAACAAAAAATGAGAGACACATGGATTTAGAAGAGTCTTCCGATATACAGTATTCTATTAATGTGGAATAATTCATAAGCCATATAGAAAAGTTAAATCTAAACTTTGCATATTAGTCAGAATTTTTATTCGAGGAAAAAAAAAAAAAGAGAAAAGAAAAGAAGTCCAGAGTTTATGAAAGTAGAGATTTAATAAGGCACGGCAAGAATTCCCCATCTTTCAAAGGGCCAGCGCCGCCAACCAGTATAAAGTTAAGCCTCATTCATTTTACAGATTCGAGTTTAGAATTTAAATTTTATTATAATAAAAAGTTCTTAGAAACAGTCACATCTAACTTTTTTGTTATAGAAAAAAGCTCACATAAAATCACATCTTAACTCAAATTATAAATTCGAATCAACGAACTAAACGAGCCTTAAATGTGTTTAGTTGAAATTCTCTCGTCGTGGCGCTGACCTGCACTAATATACGTATTACTACTAATAATCCACCGGATTATATTGTTGAAATCAACCGTGACTACTAGCCAATCGTCGGGGACCATTTGCAAGTACACTGTGTAATTAAGGACTAACACAGTGAATTGTGAAACAAAAAGAAAAGAACCGTAAATTTGGAAATGAATATATGTTTCAGAGTATAAATTTAAAACATGCTACAATTTATCAACATTTAAAAAATATGCTATAAACTTCATATGCCTATAAAAAAAAAGTCATTTGCCGCATTTTCTTTAAAAAAAAAAAAAAAAGAAAAAAAAAGAGAGAAAGCAAATGAAAAGAAAACACTCGAACAAGAAAAACAACTAAAATGGACTTATCTTGGGCCACAATGGATTGACGGATGGCCCGTGGATTGGCCTGGCCCATTGTAGTTAACATCTTAATATGGGTTGTTGGATGGGTTGGGTTTCATTCTATGGGTCAGGTCAATCCGATCTAACCAAAACTTGGGCCGGGCTGGGCTAGGCATCTCAAACTCAAAGGCCGGGATGGGCTCCCAAATGGCCCGGTTCGGCTGAACACTTACATCTTGGTGCTGATCATGTGCTAGAATATGAGTTTTCTAAACATCTAGGCACTTTGCGTGTTGAGAAAATAATTCTACCATGTACAGATTATAGTCTGAAATAGGAGTTTTCCCTCTTAGTATGAACACCCAAGAAGAAACAACAAGAAAAAATTGGAACATTTTATGTACGTGGCTAGCCAATTCTATGATATAGCACGCAATATCAACTAATCAACTAAGAAACTAACTTGAACATCATCATAGTTTTTAATTTAAACTATATGTTTGGTACTTAGATTCGTTCCCTGATTTGAATAATAGTTCGTGGTTTGTTACAGTATTTTCTCTCATAAAAAAAACACGTAAATCGAAAATAATTCTAATTACATGGTTATAATCCATGAACCAAACGTCTCCTTACAGATTCATATAACTCTTCTAAGCCAAGGATGAAGAAATATCAAGACACGACTCTTACTATAGGCGAGAAATGTTTAATAGTTATAGACCCATCAGCTAGAACTCAGTCTCACAAAATCGCTTTTTATGAGTAGGAGATTTAAAGTCCTATAAACTCATTAATTATCTTATATTTATTCCATATGTGAATATAACAGTAATGACAAACTTGTAGTTATTTTCTAGAAAATTAATCTACAAAAATATGTATAAAGGAGATAAACGTTCTAAATTGACATCAAATTTGAGAAATACTTATTGGTCTTTCGAGAAAAATAACACAAGAGGTAGAATTCATATCAACAAAATAACTTACGTTGATACCCCTTAAGACTAAATACATGTAGAGAAATGTAGGGCCCGTTTGGTAGCGTTTTCAAAATAATTTTATTTTCAATACAAAACTAAAAATGAGATTGTTTTGAGAATTATTCTGAGATTAATTCTAAAATTGCGTTTGATTAGTTTTTTAAGAGATTGTTTTGAGTATAATAAAAAAAATAAAATAATTATTAATTAATATATTATAACTTTGTTGATAAGTACTAAGAAATGAAAACAAAAAAGAGAAAATAATTTTCAACCGTTTTCTAATTTCTTCAAAAAAATCATTCTTAGTATTTTTTATTTTTATTTTCGTTTTCAAAATATTTACTAAATAAACATATAAGACCGTTTTTATTTTTATATCTCAAAAAATGTGTAAAAACATTTACAAAAATAAACAAAAATTAATTCTAAACGGACCCGTAATCTTCCTATCCACAAGGAATTTGATCCCACACACATGCACAAGTTGTGTGTAGGACTATGGATGATGATTGATGCATACATTAAACACATTAAAGGAAGGAAGATAAACATAGAGAGAGAGGGAGAGAGAGAGAGAGAGTGCGGAAACGACAAAGATAGATATACAATATAAAGAAATAAATATTGTTATATATTCAAAGGAAATATTCAGAAGAGCATTGAATTCATATCATCATAAACACAAAACGACAAAGAGCTAGAGAGACAAGCAGGAGTCAATACCCGAACCACCACCCTTGCTGACTGGTGAGGCCCATAATATACTTTTTTTTTTTTTGAAAATATTGAGCCTTACCAGAAACCAAGGATCTTATCTGGTGCGCTCTTGACTCCCCCTCTTAGTCTTTTACACACCTTCATTTCCCAATCCATCAACTGCAAATCCCCTTCAAAATACACACTTTTTTTTTTTTTTTTTTTTTAAATTTCTTCCACCTACTACTACCCACCAAAATAATAAACACTACTACTCTCCGAAACCCTACACAACCCCAACACTTCTTCAATATCCATTATTTACCCAAAAGGACAGCCACCACTTGACTATATATATATATATATATATATATGTGGTACTACTACCACCAGCACAACCCCCATAAAATACCAAAATGCCCCTTAGAAAACATTAACATGACAAAGACAGAAATGCCATTTTTTTTAAGGAAGTTAATTGAGACCCTCTTCCAAGCTGGTACTGCCATTTTCCGTCGTGCAATTAGTAGTAGTGGTGGTGGTGCTGCCAAGAGCAGCCACAATCTGATGCACCGTGTTGTTCAAGTGGTTGTTGAGGGCGGTCACGCTTGGGAGGCTCAGCTTTGCGGAAGGGATAGTGCTGACCAATACATGGAGGCCAACGGTGAGAAGACAGCTTGGTTTTGCTGATCCGGCTGCAGCAGCAGCAGCAGCAGCCGCCTCCGAGGATGAAGCGGCAGCGGCGGAGGAGGAGCTGCCGTCGGCTGGGGAGGCTACTGCGGCGGTTGGTTCGACGGGGATGATGGAGAAGCCAATGGGGAGGATCCGGATGCAGGACGGATCCTCGCCGCTCATGGCGAGCTGGATGGCATCCACCTCCATGGTTGAGTAGACCACCAAGCTGCCTGACTGGTCGGTGCAGCTCTCTTGCAGCATCAGCTCTACGTGCTGAGATGAGTTGCTCGCAACCTGCATTTTACGTATATGGAGGAAAAAGAAGAAGCATATGTTACAAGCAATTTGTATAAGATTCTTTAATTTGTAACGTACTTGCTATAATTGGTGCAAATGTAACACTTTATATATTTACAGATAATAATATTCCAAGTTCAGTTTCAGACTATAACTCCAAAATACAGTTATAACGTAAAAGAAATGTTACTCCTATGGCATGTAATAAGAAAGCAAGGATCAAAATATACCTAAAAGAAAAAGTTAACGTACGTAATATCTATAGCGGTTTGAGAAATGCTTACATTGATTCGAAGAAGAGAAATACAGTTCCCAGGATGAGAGCCATTAGCAATGTGAGCCACTTCATGTAAGGAGTTCCCATTTGAAAGGACTTCGAGCTACAAAATTCATTACATTAGTATTAATATCATTCAAGCAAACATATATACAAAAAATTAGGTGCCGTTTGTTTCATAGGTTTGAAACACAATTCAAACCTTTTTGTTAGTATTTTCCCCCACAAAATATTGAATTTTTGTTTATACTTTCTTTTCAAACTTACGAACCAAACGATACAGAGTTTAAGCATATAGTACACGACGATTTACCTGGCATCTGCGGTGTTCATCCCTCAAGAGTTCAAAGACTTGGTTGTGAGGATATGGGAGCCAAGTGGTCGAAACGGCACTGAGAATGAGGCCGTTGGGTTGGCCAGGCTCGGTGATCTTCCGCGTGGTTATTCTAACAGTGTCATCAGGAGAATCAGAAAGAGCTGTCCATGACTGCCCACCGGAGGTGCTAATGTTTGCACAAAATGTTTTTATCATTCTCTGAGCCAGGTTCATCATGTTCTTTCTCGCTTCCGGAGAAGGTATAACTGCAACATCAAATATATGTGCCACAAAACAATAATATGTTAATAATACAATCCAACAAATTAATGCGCAAAGTTATATCAATTAACCTAATAATTAGGCTGAACCTAAGTGGTGCGTAATTAGGTTTTCTATCAACAAAGATATCCAAAAGTAGAATAAGATGATTTTAGTATTTTGTAATAAGTTCAATTTGAACAAACAAAATCATTAGAATAGAAGTTAACCTCAAAGATGAAGAAATAAGTAAAATTGCTTAGGTTAATAAATATGTGTATTCCCTATTGGTGATCAATATGTGTTTGAATTTTGAAATTACAAAATTTAACGCTAATTCGATTAGAAGAACGAAACGAGAACCAAAAAACAAAAAACAAAAAAAGAAAAAAAAAAGAATTTAACCTCCAAGATCTGAAATATTTCTAGCCATGAGACTTGCAACCCTTTCACATTGTCTCTGCAAGACAGCCAACCAGCGAGACGCCCCAAATGCCATTCCACTATGGACAAAGTGACTAAAAATCTGTTGAACCGGCTTCTCCTCTATCTCTGCATGTTCAATCCAAGTGACCTGCAGAAAATGAAGAACAATAACAATATTCATGATCACGACACGATACCAAAACGACGACGGTCTGAAGAAACCGCTGTCTAATATGCACAATTAATAAACACGGCATAGAAACCTCCGTGTTGTATGAAAAAAAAAAAAACTGCAAATTAATGCTCAAACATAATTAATACATAGTGGAAATAATAAACACGTCTTTTCTATATATATAATACAAAGTTAGCTAGTTATTAAGTAGGTACCCTTGAGTATCCATTAGGCATGTCTTGGATAACACAGCCAGAGGGACGTCTCTTGTATCTGGGAAGCGAAGGCTGATGAAGGATGTCATGAAAGCTGTCAATGGGGTAATCAACAATTATCCAACTCCCTTCCTCTGCGTTTTGTTGGCAATACCGGAGAAAATTAGCCTCCCTCGTCGGTACCAACGGCGAAGGAAATTCTAGTTCCGCAAACATCTGTCCAACGAACAAAAGTTATAGCCAACAAATTCAATGTGTATAGACATGTACGGGGAAATTTTCTACTGAACTGCATCTAATTTTAAATACGTCCCATTTTAATTGCTTCCGAAAATTTCATGCATATATTTGATTACCAGCTGAAGGGAACCGCTTGCTTGGCCAGAAGCATCAGATGAAATAACTTGAAGAGTTTTAGCTCTAGAAACAATAGATGGAAACAAGTCCATCCATTTATTCTGTACAAAAGTTAAAAAAAAAGATTAATTAATATTGGAGATAATTAAAGGAAAATGCATACATAAGAGAATAATTTTTTTGCTAATCACATAAGAGAGTAATTGAACATGCACATATTCAAGTTTTTTAAAATTTTAGAAATGAATGCAGAATAATAACAATAAAATGGCCATGAAAAGATAAAAATGGTAATAAAAGACGATAGAATTAGAACTCACAGCATCAAGGAAAGCATCGACAAGAGTGATGCTATTCATGATAACAACAGCACTATCACGAGTGGCTTCAGTCCTAAACTCACTGGCGCCATTCTGCTTAAGGTCATGATTCAAAGGCCACGGAAACATCCTTGCATGCTCTTCAACATTGAGCACTTCCCTCCCATTTTCGCCCTTTCGGATCCAAAGAGGATGGCCAGACTGACACATCTTCACGAGCTCGTTCACAGAAGACATGGCGAGCTCCATCGCAAGAGACTTCTCTTCCTCAAGTAGTAAGCCATTCTCCACCGTGAAGTGAGAAGGCTCCGGTGGCAGCATTGGGACCGGAACCATGGTGTTCGGATCGGGGAAATGCCTAGAATAGATGTTCATGTCCAAGTCCAAGGATGGAGGCATTAGGGTTGGAGGTTGAGGTTCCATTCCTTGCATTGGCCGGCCGGTGTTTCGCCAAGTCAGACAACAAACTCGGTCTAACTGCAAAGACATAATTGGCACGTACGATAGTTATAATTTAAATACACATATGTCAGTACGAAGACATTAGTGTTATAATATAAGGAGACAGCTAATTATAATTAACTTGTCACTACTTAGTGTTTAAATAATTAACTTGTGATTATTAGTGTTGTTAATATACTATTAAGTAAAAATTAAGTGTGAGGCGTACTTAAATGTATTAAATTCACAGGCATGCCTGCTTTCTAAGCTAAGGTAATTAATTTGGTCCCTAAAAATTATTTTCTTCCAATATACATGGATGAATATGCTTAATTACTAGCTCATACATTAATTACGATAATTTACTTTAATAAACTGTGTTTTATTAGAAGATAAGCATGCCAGGAGTGATGGTTAGGCCAAATTTTCCACGCAAGGTTACAAATCTTTCAATATCCCCAAAGCAAAAGGGAATTAAAAAAACTTGACCATTTTATTAATGTTTCTACTTTGAAAAGAATTTCCCTTACAAATAAACACCACTTATTACCTCCTCTCTTAGTCGAGCATTCTCAAGGCGAAGTTGCTGTTCGTCCAAGCAAATGTCACCGATTATCGCCGGACCACCACAATTAGGGCATATAACATTGCGGAGCGCCGCTTGTAGACGATAATTCTCATTCTTTAAGGTCTCATTTTCCGCTCTAAGTATTGCATTATCAGCACGGTCTTGTTGTGCCTAAACAAATATAATTAAGACACATAAGAAGTACATATATCAGAAAAAAAAATCACAAAAAATGATCTAAAGATTTCCACAAATAATAGAAAATATACATATACATATATAGCGAAAAAATTTCTTATAATTATTTTTGTAATGGATTCCACTAGTAACCCTAAATGACAAAGCATTTATTTTGTGCAACCTTTGGGAAACACAAGATTAGGTAGGAGTTTTATTGCGCAGCCCAAGCTCGCATTTATTGGATATTTGCAGACTTATATAAATTTCGATATGATCCAAAAGTAAATGAGAGATTCTGTGATCTTCTCCTACAATGGGTGTGATAATGCACCCTAGTTTGGCCGTTTAGGGAAAAGGGACTTTTAAATGAGGGCAATCAAAAACGCGTTTTCTTGGGAAACGTGCAAAAGATTATGCATTAAACAGCTTTGGTTAAGAGCTGTATAATATTGCCTCATTTTAGGGTTACCATGAAAAAACAAAAAAAAATAGAGCTTTGAAAAGAGAGAAATTTTTTATCAAGTGGGAAACTGATGAAGTGTAAAGATATAGATATAGATCAAACCTTCATCTGCGTTCGCCGGTTTTGGAACCAAAATTTGACCTGCCTTGGCTTGAGCCCTAGATCTTGGCTCAGTTTCATCCTCTGCTTGTCATCTGGGTGTGGAAATTCCTTAAACAAACTTCAAAATGCAAACAAAACAAAACAAAACAAAAGGAAAAAAATGTTAAATTAAGAATATTTATATAAGTACTAATGAAAAGTTTTTCGACAAGTCAGAAATTGTCATGTAAAATTGTGAGTCGTCGTCTTACGCTTCCATTTCTTGGATCTGGCGAGCGGTGTGGCGGTGATAGCGTTTCTTCTTTTGTTGTTGTTGTAGTTGTTGTTGATCGGCGCTCTCTTGCTCGTTCCCTGACTTGTCTTCCATTTGTTCACTGCCCGAACCACTCTCCAACATCTCTTCTTTTCCCCTCAAGAGCAGGCCGTTCTCTTCCTTCTATGTTGAAAATTTTATTTCATGTTTTGTTATGATAAATTGATTTGAAAAAAAAAAAAAAAAAGCTATAAATATTATAAGCAAAAAGAAAACAAAAAAGGAAAGGAAAATTGTGAGAATATTAGTACTACTTACAGGAACTACGGAGGAGAAGGGTTGAAAAGTAGGCATGGTGGAGATGAAGTTGAAATTAGGGTTTTGGATCGGAGACGAAAATAGGGTTTCCGAGGGAACCACGTTTCCTCCCATGGATGACATTACTTGACAATCTCCATACATGATTCCCTCTTGCACAATATAATTTTTATACGTGATGAAAAAGTGGAAGGGATATAAATATATATATATATATATTTATATGAAAGAAAATTGTCAAATAGGTTTTTGGTTTTGATCCTCTAATTTACTATCACACTTTTCCCCGTGAGCTTTATAAGACCTGCGTTTTATTGATTTGTTAGCAGAAGAATATAGTGTTAAGAGATTCTCCATGAAAATGTGAAAATATAAACTAAAAGATCGAGAACTTCGTTATTGCTCATCAAAATACATAAATGCCTTTGATGATCAAGTGCAAAGACTGAACATGCATATTATAAACCATCTTCATCACTAAAAGACTAAAGGAGGAAAATGAAAAACACAAAAAAAAAAAATATATATATCTAAACTTTTTGAGTGGTTTTGACTTTAAAAAAAAAAAATCAACACAAGGTTTAAATCTTCTAAACAAAAGAATAGGATTATTTAAAAAAAAAAAACAAAGAGAAAAAAAGTAGTGAAAATAGTGAGAGGATGACATCTCTTCATACCTAGAAAGTAATAACTACTACTTCATATCTTCAAGGTAAAAAACACAACCAAATAAATTAAAACGGCACCATAAAAGTCGATGAAGAGGAATTGTTCAAGAGATGAAGAGTGAAAAAGCCCCCCAAAAAGCAAAAAAAAAAAAAAAAAAGAAGATATATAATTATAACCACAGTAGTATATGTAGCTGAGTAATAGTACACTACTGGCAAAAGAAAATTAAATGAAAGTTTGAAATATTAAAAGCAGAGAGAAGAGAAAAGAGACAATATATGAAATGACTGATTAATGCGTGAGAAAGGAGAGTAAATATATTCATCACCACCACACACACCATGCAAACCCTTTCTTTGTGTCGGTGTATTGTTTGTCTTGGGCAAAACGAAGCAAAAGAAAATAAAAAAAGACATTTCTTACCCTTTGGCTTTGATGATCTGCTTCTCTTTCTCTCTCTCTCTCTCTTCTTACAAGTTTTGTTTCTCTCTCTAAAATATCACAAATTCATACATGACTTTCTCTCTCTCTCTAACGCCATAAATAAGTAAATTTATTGAATATTACAGAGGAAATAAGGGTTTGACAGAAACCGATCGATCATCGCCAGTTTACCCGTCGGCTGTTTCATTACACGTGTCGTGATCTGGCTGGCGGATCTCGCGTTCAGTCAGTCACCATTTACACAAAGTCAAACTTCTCTCTCTTCTTTACTGTCCATGATTTCATGGAGCGTGTATTCACGCGTTATTTGAGTGGTTCGTGTCATGCACGCGCGTTGTGTTTTGATGGTTTGATTTTTTTTTTTTTTTTCACTGAGATGGTAAGTCGATTGGAAAATGGAAATTGACTTTGACAATGGAGGAAGGTTAAAAGGTAATAGAAAGAGGACGCAGATTTTGGAGAGTCAATCAATCACGGCCGTCCATTTATGGGGGTTAGGATTCACCACATTGTAACGTTTTTGTTTTCTTTTATTAAATTGTTGTTTTATGGGAATTTTTTGTGTAGATTTTATTTTGGGGGGAATTACTTTAATGGGTTTGACCGTTCTTTACATGTAAATCCAAAGTGTGTTGATTTCTTATAGATCACAATCTTTGTCTTCTTACCTATTAAAAAACAAATCTTTGTGTTCTTACAATATCATTTTTAGATATTAAATAAATAGTATTATTAGATTGTGTTTTCTTAATAACAGTTTTTTGAAAAAAAAATTTCTTAATAAGAGAATTGTAGTACGATGATAGATAATGTTTGAATGGACTCACTTACAAAAACCTAGGATTATTCTTTCTTAAAGAATATGGGAATGATTGGATGAGGATATATTTATATAATAATTTAATTTTTTCTATTTAATTGGTGAATGAAATAACATGATGATTAAGCACTATATTAATGTCTTAAACAGACAAACATAGAAAGTTCAAACGGTTGACTATTAATGATCCTTTTTCCTTTTTGGAGTATTTATGGTGGGGGTATATATAGATGATTTGATTTTCTTGGAAAATAAGGAATTAACAATAAAGGAAAGCTAAGCATGGGCGATGAAATCTTGGGATTGAATGTGAAATTAAGATCTTTCTGAGGATAAACATAAAATGATATCTTTTTGAGGATAGAGCTAAATTGAATGAGATTTTTCTGAAAAAAGAAAGATAAAATGAGATTAACATTCGAATAACTATGAGAGATATTTAAGGGGAAACAAACCTCTCGTGCTCTGAAATTTGAGAGATTGATCATGAGATCCATATGATTTTCTGAAATATTACGAATGTACAACAATACAGAAAGTGTGAAACTGAAACGAGGAAACTTTTTAAGAGAAAATGGAGGAAAAGAAAAAAAGAAGAAAGGAATAAAAAGATATTTAGGCTTAAAAAGGGAAATTCTTACCGTTCTTGATTTTTTTGACACTATTCATATAAAAAAGTGATAAGTATCTTTTATTATTATTATTTTTTTGAAATGGACAATATATTTCAAATATTAAAAGACATTACAAATACCAATCCATACATATAGCCCTTACTATAAAAACACAACACTACAGATAATCAGTTCAATTAATAAACTCAAATGAATCTCGAAGAAAAATAGTGTGTATCAGACTCCACAAGCGGAAATCACCCAAAGGGGTATATAAAAAATCAAGCACATACATGGCTCTTTGATAGATCCTATACAGTCAATGGAAACAATCTGATCAACCGATATCGAGAAACTCATAGCACGAAGGCTAGACAAAAAACGCAAAGAAATATATCTTGTAGACGAAAGAAGCAATAACCTAAACTAATCAAGGTAAGAAGACCCGTTATTACAAACGAAAAAGGGGAAAAACCACGAGCTAGAACATCAAAACACTAAGGAGAGCAAGTCCCTCAACACCAACGAAACAAAACAGTAGAAAAGATGAGTGGTTGGTAAACACACATACGCAATAACCGGCTTGTGCACTACAAGACGACTTAACTTCTCTCGCATAGCGCAACTTCCATAAGATAGGTCGAGACAAAGACCAATGCGTCAAAAAATGCCTCAAGTCCAACAACAATCCCATCCCTATTTTAAATTAAATCCGGCAACGTCTTCCACCGCAGAAATATTAGAGAATTATCGAAAAACTATATAAACATAAAATTTCATCTCGTAAAAATTTCAAAATATTGATAAATTTTTGTATTTTATATTTTTTAAGTGGTAAAATTCAACTCACACACACATATATATATATATATATATATATATAAACGACAAATTGTCATGGATTCCACGTTAAGTGTATGCCATAAAAAGAGCATAACTACATAAAAAATAAAATACAATCACACAAACTCCATAATTAAGAATACCAATATTGTTTGAATACAAAGGATATTCCACATGCTTTTGAAGTCCCAAAAACTCCTTTAGTATTAATATTTTCTTTATCTTGTGTGATGTAGGGGTACATGTATCAGCTTAAATGTATTTATTTTTAATTATCTTAATATTGGAAGTGTGTACTTGTCATTGATTTTTTGTTAGCTACCAAGCATATTTATCATATATGAAAAAAATTATCAAATTTTATGTATTATTGCTCATTTTAGAGCTTTTAAAGTCAATTACTCAAGTAAACATTTTTCTTTTGAGACAAATTTCTATACATTTTCTACGTCTCCACTCGCGGTCACTGGATTTCAATACGCATACCCAAAGGCCAATGACACACCCAAGTTCTGAGCGATGATTGCTATAGCCTACGATATAGGCACGCCACTAAAAATAGATAATCAACTTTAATAATTAACTTCCTGTAAAATTATTGTAATGTGCCATATTATACTAAATTTGCTTAATTTTTTTATATAATTTAAGGGATTCAAAGTTAAGAAATTAAAAGATTAATTGTGTTACATTTAAATTGGAATTCATCGAACTTGCTTTTTCAATACTAACTTAACACAATTATCGTCAAAATGAGACATATTGCAATAATTTTATATGTTAAGAGAGCAGCTTGTCACTGTGTGAGATACCTGATGAAGTGGATTACTTTATTAGGAATGGTGGTTAAATATCAAAAGAGTGGTTATAATTATATATTGCATCTTCCCAACCATAGTTATTAGGCCCCCCGATCAATATTTATGGCTTCGTCACTGGAAGATCGAAAGCTTGATGCAGATAATGCACTAGAAATCAACAATGTAGAGTTTCTCCGAAAGAGATAGAAATTGCTGCTTTAGGTTCTTGAGACAAACTAACATATCTAAAAATTTTGAGAAATAAATTGAACAAAAATTTGGAGAAGAAAACGTCATCCTACCAACTTAGAGATCGTAGTGGGAAGGGTTATAGATTACAAAAATCTAGAGTTCCCCCAAAAAAAAACCCCCCCCCCCCCCCAACTACATTGGTTCTTTACTAAATTTTTGTGTTGTTTTGACTTCATTTTTTATTTGTTTTTCCTTTATTTTGATTTTTTAATTATTTTCATAAGACCTTTCTCTATTATTTTCAATACATTTTTTGCTTATGAAAAAAATTAGGAAATGTACCCCATTACGCGTCTCTTAATTAGTTTTATGTTCTTCTCTTCCATCCTAAGTTTGTTTATTCCAAAAAAAAAAAAAAGAGAAAGAAAGAAAGAAAATGAGGTAAATTTTTTTAAAAGTGCTTAATGAATCATATAAATCTTTATACTCTCTTAGTCGAGAAACGTTTTCTCTCGATTTTATATTATTTCCCGTCAATATCAATCTTTTCATTAAATTTTCGGTAAAATATAATTTTTTTAATTTCCAACTATAACCTTTTTTTATTTGGCGGTAACTATAGCCATATTTTCTTTCTTATACCTTTTAAGTTGAAAAGAAAAAGAAAGAAAAGAAGATTTATCCTTCTTCATAACTTAAATATATATTTCTTCTTTATGCTTTTCCAGGTTCAGTCTTAATAGGCAGGAATACTGAATTACAATTATAACTCGTTTTTATAGACATATATATATATATATATATATATTGGCGCGTAGTCTTTTAAATTGCAAACTCAACCGTTTGGAAAACAATTAGCATCTCTTTAAGCGGAAAATGTTCCCAATATATGCCTTCTCATGGTCCCTCTAGAGTTCTATTCTTTTCATCTCTATCATGTAGCTTTATTATTTTACTGTTTCTATAAAATTAATTCAACTTACCTTATAACAACTTATTTTTTTTTTCAAAAAAAAAAAAGAAGAAGATATATATATTGTAGATCAAAAGAAGAAGATTTTTACCTTTTACTTTTAATTAATATCATTTTTAGTCAAATAACTATACTAATTAAAACAATATTAATAAGAGTAAAAGGTAAAAATTTAGAGGTAAATTCCATTTTCTCTTCTTTTTTATGCTATTTGAGCTAATTAGGCTTTGTCTCTTTGCCTTTGGGTAGTGATTATCTTCCTTTTATTTTTATTTTAATAAATTTATAGTGGAAGGCTGTAGTAAAATAGAGTTTTAACTAGTTGCCAACTTATTTAGGATGTGTTTGTTTCTCTTGATGTTAATTGTCTCCTTTCTTCTATACACACACACACACACACACACACACACATATATATATATATATATATATATTCATAACCATTATAGCTCGAGATTTAAGTTAACATATATCTTTATATAATGATAAAAACTACAAACGGATGAAAGATAGAAAGGAAAAAAGTTCTAAAGGAGATAAAAATCCTAGGATCTCTCTTTTCGGTAGGAAGCTTTTCGATAGGAAGAACACTGAAATTTGAGATAAAAAAGAAAAGAGAAGAAAAGAGAGATCGGAAGTCCATATTTTCTTGAGCTTATAATAATTACTATACAAATCGATTTGGCTAAAATAAAAAATAATGCAGGTCATTAAAACACTTTTGAAATGCATAATCATACGCCAATAATCTCGACTAAATGATGCTATTATGAATTATCTATTGCATTCAACGCGTCTCACTGCTTAATATCCAATTAAATGTACCTTTATACTTTTTTTTTTTTTTTTTTTTTTTTTTTTTTTTTTTTTTTTTTACTTTTTTGACTTAAAAAAAAAGATCATTAGTGTCACCTCATCTGTAAAAGTTAAAGAGCTCATCAATAAATTGAAAAAACATTAAACCTAATTTTATTCAAAAGATAGGCTCGATTTCATTCATAGTCTCAGACACTAACTAGGACAATCCTAATGCTACACGTGAGCTCATTGATTTCGAGGTTTCAGAATACCGAATTTGAGGCCAATTCACTATGAAAGGGGAAGACATATCCTAAACACTGTGCGGCCCTTTGATGTTATTTATATACTATTTTATTTACTAGTTGATGTAGAAATTTATAACAAAGCAATTGACATAAATTGATCAACAACACTTACGCATGAATGCAGCCGAATTTAAAAAAAAAAAAAAAAATCAGTAGGAGCACCATATGAAATACAGAAAGCATAATTAAAGCCATATAAGAATTGTCTATTTTAAAGTACGAAATACAATTACGATTTTTAAAGTAAAACTGCAATCATATTAATTGTCTTAATTGAGGCACAATTATAAGCATTCAAACATTTGCATGTAAAAAAAAAAAAAAAGAAAAAAAAAACATTAAAATCTGTGTGGGTTTGCCCCTACTAAAGAGATCATGTTGTGGTAAGTTAATAGTATTATTTATCATTGAGAAACAATACAAAATGGAGTAAATTCTTTATCTTCTTTTTTCCCTTTTGATTAAGAGATGAAGATTTGAATAGTGGATTATTACATAATAATGTGGTTATGACTATCAAACAATACTATAAAACCCATTACTAGAAGATGGATCCTGCAAAATGAGATCTATAAAGCTCATATTCTATTAATGACGACATTTAATACCGGTGGTACCTCCAAACCTTTTTCTATCATCATCAACTAATTAGGTCTCTTGACTACTTTTAATATTTTTGTTAGGCTTATGGTCAAATATAAGAGAGTAGGAGATACTTCCCTATTCCTGAGCTTTACCTAATTTATTTATAGAGTCTTTGACTTGTTATTTCACTTGAATTAATGCAAAAATTTTAATCAATACCTATGCCATAACATTAATGAATCCAATAAGAAGAATATATAACTCGGTACTATGCATGTCTGCCAATTCTAACCGTACGCATCTCTTTGAGAATAAAGAAATAAATGAGGATTGTTGTGGGTTCAAAGATAAAGAGTGCTTTGATTACCATTGTCATATATTACAATATTAATATATGCTATTAATATTATCATACTTGCAATATATATGTAGTATAAATTCCAACATCGATCGATCATGATCATCCTAGCTTTTGTCTTTGCACCTTTAACTCTTTGGGCATTTTAATGATACATATGCATTTTTTTTTTTAATAAACTCTGCAAGCTCAACAAAGAGAGTGTACCATCAATATTTATCTGCTACATCCTTAACAAAAATAATAAATACAATTCATGTACACATAGCGTCTTGCTAGGTTAAATAAATAATGAATTTAAGTGCTATATTCATACTTTAAGCATATAAATATTTAGTTTATTGGATTTCAGTGGAATAGAGAGGCTAATTAATATAGGAATAGGATGTATTAACCTGATAGATCAATCAATTTATAGTTTTTAAAAACTGAACTAATATGTTTAATTTTTTGAATGTGGGTGTGTAGAATTTTCTTAAAAAATTTATGTGATTTTCTTAAAAGGTTTAGTTTTTTTTTTTCTTGATTTATTTCTACTGGGTCAAATTAAAAAAAAATTTAAATATAAGAAAATAATAAGCTTTTTTTAAAAAAAAAAAACTGAGAGAATAATAGTTGAGATGAAAAAATATTAATAGAGAGCAGCTTGGAATTGTTTTATTTTATTTTATTTTTTTGAAAGTGGAATGACTTTTGATAATATGGAAAGAGCCACTTGGGCTTGTAAGACAGAAACAATGCCTGTGTCAAGAGAGGAGCCCATCAACTGAAAGTCGTGGGCCTACTCTGTACCTGCAACGGTAGTTGGGATCCCTTTTCATGGCACCCAAATTTAAACGAAAAAAATAAAATAAAAAACAAAGGCAAATAACTTCACACTGTATTTTTTTCCTAGCAAAAAAAAACCTTCACAGTGGTATTTGAAATTTGAATGGAATGAAGTGGACAAAAAGGAAGCTGAGATTGATCTTTGAAATTAACGGAGGATACAAACTTAGTTGTGAATTTTATATGAGAATATTTCTCACGGGTCCAGTTGTGAGACTTCTGTAGGACTCACTTATGAGATCTATTTTTTATGAGAGAGCGAGAATTTAGTTCTATCGAGACAAATAACATTACTCATTTTATATTGTGGCTTTTTAGAAATGCCATGTTAAATTTCAGTTTTACAATTTAAAAAAGCATGAACAAAGATCAGATAAAAGTGTAGTATTTTTTTTCTCAAATGTTACCTTTTTTGTGTGTTGTACCCTGCATTTATATGCAGTCTATTGAGAGTACTCCCAACTTGTGAGTTCTTTGTCTCTCTCTTTTTCTAATTCGTGGATGTAAGCACCTTGTTAAATCACATTAAATCTTAGTGTTTATGTAATTTGTATTTTCTCAAAAAACTTTTTTTTATTTTATTTTATCTCTTTTAGGTTATTCTTTAATTTTTAATAAAGTATCAAGAGTAATTCAATACTCAAACTAGTTCCTTGATCCTTTAATGCTGATCCAACTCTCGAGCCTTGCTCCCTGCACGTCATGCCCCTCCTCCTTTGCGCCTCTTGCGCCCTCACCTTGTCTCAACAATTTGTTGTTCATGCACCCTTCCTTCCCTCGACGATCGTCAATTTGTCACCCCTGCACCTATGCATCCGCTCCTCTCCCGACAATTGTCGTCTCTGTGCCCATACCCTCTCGACGATTGTTTCTTTTGAGGATTGTTGTCTTGATGCGATTATTCCCACTCCGTCTTTATTTTCTCAAGAAAAAAGTAAAACAAAAATTTTTCGGATATTAGAATCTTCTATTCAAGCTCCATCTTACCGGGCATATTAACAAATTTTCAGATTTTATAGTTTAAGTAACGTACTTGATTCTCTGATTGTAACTTATACGTATATGGAGCTCATTCATAGTGCCCCTTACTAGTGAATTCTCTCCCTTTCTAATGTGTAAATGCGGACATATTGCCAAATCACGTTTAAATCTCCGTTTTCTCTTCTCCCTTTTATTTTATTTTTTAATTTTTGATAAAACTCTCCATTCTACCTCATACGTATGATTGCAACATGCAGGATCCAATATAACTGGATGACAATAGACTTAGTAAGAGCAGTTTCTTTTTTCTTTTCTCTTGCAATTAGTATATGACCAAGTTAAATAATAAATAGGCATGGGAAATTGTATTCACACCCAAGTTTGGAAAATTACAAGTCTACTTGATAAAATTGGAAACTAACAGAGTTTTTATTCCTCAACTTCATTAATAAGAAATGAAATAACCGCGATAGAATCTGGTGGACACACACTTACATACCCAATCACTTGAGAAGTCTACTCGATAAAATAGAGATTAACAACATACAATGAGCCTCGTATTTTTAATATATACAGAATAAACCTTTCTTTCGATCTCCTATTATGTGTTATAAGTTTCGACATTACTTTCGTATTTCACTCAATAAATCTCCAAGAACGTTATTTATTTTAACTCCTATTATAAATGTTGAAAACTTGAAAATAGACACAGAACAATACACATAAACATTCTTTTAAACAGGTAAAAAAAAAAAAAAAAAAAAAAAAAACCCTTAATCTCTCATATCACAAAAGTACTGGTATTGCACAATTATAAAATATGAATTCGTGTCGGCTTTGTCACACTCAATTTCCTAAATAGAACAAAATTTACTCTTCCATTGTTTTACATGCAAAACACTGTGGAATGCATTACAATTTGTAGCTAGTATTTCTCAAATAAGAAAATTATAGAACTACGACAATTATACAGTAAAAAAATAACCGAATCTGTAAAGAGTTCACACTTTATAGGGCATCTCAGGGTTAAAGGCCCTACAGATAGCCGTCTCTCCTATCTTGCTCCTCAGCTTCCTTGTTAGCAACTTGAACAGATTTGAACCACAAGAATGCCTATATCCACTACTAATTATTAGCAAAGGAAGAATTTGAGGGAAATGACATATATTTTACATGTCAAGTACTTTTAAGATGCTAAAAATCCAATTATGAATCTCATAGGAAAAAGAAGTAACTTGTGTTGGAGCAAAATTTCAGCCAATACTGAATGCAACTATGCATGCACTCGAACAAATAATTTGGATGGAGTGAATACTTTAATCAAGAATGTGACAAGAGCGCTTGTAAAACACCAAGGTCCTGTTTGTTTCCGTTTTCATTTTCATTTTTCACATTTTTTGAGACTAAAAAATGAAAACGGAAACATAAAATGCGTTTGGCCTAAAAATTTTTTAAAAACGAAAACAAAATCATTTTTGTCTTTTGTGAAAAATTGAAAACGAAAAAAATGTGTTTTCATTTTCTCGTTTTCATTTTTTAAAAACGGATTTCATTTTTTTTTTCATTTTCTTCTCTCTTTTCTGAAACCGTTTTTGTCTTATATAATGATGTTTATTTAATATATTATTATTTAATATATTTAATAATATTATTTATTTAATATATTTAATAATATTATGTTTTCAAAAATTAAATCACCAAACGCAGTTTCAGTTTTTTTTAAAACTGAAATCAATCTTTGAATAAAACTACCAAACGCATTTCAGAAATAATTTCAAAATGAAAATGAAAACGTTTTCATTTCTATTTTCATATAGAAAACAAAAATATTTTGGAACCAATTCCAAACGCACCTTAAGAACTTTGCAAAATAAACAAGAGAAAACCGGAGTTCCAGAATGATATCACAAAGCATGAGTATTGAAATAAGTGTTTCTTGAGCTTCCTTCTTTAATGCCACCCAACAACTTGCATTTGTGATGTATAAGACCCTAATTAAGAGACTGTTTTTAGAAAATCAGGGCAACTTACAGAGGTAGGAAGGCCGGTAAAGGTGAAAAATCCGAGCAGTGGAACATAGAATATGCTATCTGGGTTCACTACTCCGAAGACAGGCCTTTGGTTTACATACTCGAAAATAGAACCTATCTGCAAGTTTAGAAGTTCAAATTAATCTGAGAGAAATTATATAGTAAGAATCATGCCAAGCATGTTAAAAGGAGTAACAATTCTACAAAGGAATGAAATCTTGAGAAGGAATAAGAAAAGGGGAGTTACAGCCGCAATTGCAGTGACCGCCGAGGCAAGTAAATAAACGAAAAATGGAACTTCAAATCCACTTTCTGATGCGTCTTTCTTTCCTTCATCCCGCGCCCAAGGAGGCGGCTCGTCTGATTCGGGTTTGGCCCAAGAGGGCAGTGTTTCTTCAGACTTGCTAGACTCTGCAGAACCTTTGCTAACAGCGTAAACAGTAAACCGATGAGATGAATCGTTCTCTTCATAACAACGGCGGTTTTGATTTCCCTTTCCAGTGAGTTGAACCAGTATCCTTTGTCCATCACCTAGGAATGATCTGGGATATGATCTGTCATTCTTTTTGCAGCCATGGATTACTTTTGAACTGCACAAAAACAAGACATTTGCAGCCATATCTGTTTGTTTCTCTTGCTCTCAGCCCCTCTTTTCTCCTGTTTCTGTTAAGGAGCACATAAAAAACGTTTGCTGTTAAGGGCATGAGCCACTTAGACTAGAGCTCAAAAGGGAAACTGGTAGTTTTCTTTAATATACTAATGTACTTGAGACATATTATAGAGAATGTTAAACACTAACAGCTCCAAAATTTTGCATATATGAGAAGAAATGATATGCTTCGCTTTCCTATAACACTCAACTTTTGTTGAAATAAAATATGCAGTTTAATATGACATATTTTTTGGTTAAGAATATTAATTGTAAGAAGATATTTCCAACACATAAGTAATTGACTGCATAAGTTAACTAAGTTCTGTATCAGTCTGGTTTGTTGCTCCTATTTTCCAAGACCCAAATGCCTTAGTAATGCAAAATGAGCAAAATGAGTATTTCTTCATCTATACTGTCTGAGGCCTTCCCTTCTGTAGTCTTTCTACATTATACCAAATTACTGAAAAATTTGCTCGCTAAAACTAATATGTTTATTAATCATTCCTCCATAATATAGAAAGTTCTATTTCATTACTAGGGGTTTTCATGGTCTTCATTTTCTTATTACCAAATCAAGCTCATAATTTATCCCAAAAGATATGATTCGTTATAAATTCAATAAATGCAAAGGCAAGGGCTTAAGTCCTTCACAAACAACCAATCATACGTGTAACATGTAGAAATAAAAAAGTATAACGTGACATTTATCATCTCTAATAATCACTATAAAAGCTGATAAAAAAAATGATGACTATAAAAGAATAAATAAATAAAAAAAATCATTTATATATGGATCAAAATTACACCTCTTTAAGTTGCATAAAGTAAATATTTATTCCAAAATGTTGCATTACAGGACTGGTCTCACGAAGGGCCAGACAAACCAGAGTGTAAATTAGGCCCAGTACCACTTAGTGATACCCTTTTAGATGCAAATTATTGTTAAACCTTCATGGAGAAGCGGTATATTTGAATACCAGCCCTCTAAAAGTGGTATTCCTCCAATTCACTCGCAAACCAGAAGACATTACAAAAGACAACACAACCCACGTAATTCTTAACCCCTACTTCTATCCCTCTGAAAGGAACAAGAAAAGCTAAGCAAAATTTCTTTAACCCACACATTAGCACATTACTGAAACAATACAATTATGCCCTGGACACCATTAAATCGTCAAAAATGACATAACCCACAACAGCTCAACAGGAGAGAGATTCTCACAGAAGGTTACCTAAAAAGCTCTTTATCTGGTCGGCACCCAATGAACCAAAATTGGTTTTCGCTTCTAAGATTGGCAAAAGAAATACTCTTTAATTATGATACTCACCTTAGTACCCAAGGAAAATTAATGGGTAACTTTTGCTTTCTTCAAATTGGTATGTTTGTGGTTCTAAGCCTACATGCAGTCGCTGACTGGAACGAAGGATTTTTTTTTTTTTTTTTTTTTTTTTTTTTGGGGGGGCTGAGAAATTGAAATGAATAAAGTGAGTTATAAGCTCTAGGTGTCCGTTTGAGATAATTTGTTTTTGTATTTTTATAAAAAAAATAAAAAATTTATTTTTAAATTATATGAGTTTAGATTTTTATTTTTTATTTTTGATAAATATTATTTTATTAACGTAATTATTTTATTTAAAAAGTTATGAATTAAGAATAAATGGTAAAAATTATAATCTATGCACTTTTAAGGAGTATTTGTCAAGATTATTCGTGTTTTTAAATTGTGACTTTTAAATTAGTGTTTTGATAGTACTTAAAAAAGTGCTCTTATATTTAAGAAGAGTTTTTGAACATGTTTAAATAAAAAAAGTCAAAAACACTTATTATTATAAAAATTAATGTAATAAAAAAATATAGATGAAATATTTAATTTATTATTCACAAATAAAATATTAAAAATATAAATAAAAAAAACTTTTTATAATATTTTTTTCTTAAACATTAAAGAGATAATTTATTATAAAAGTACTTTAAAAAGTTAAAAACACTTTAAAATTATCCTTCTAAACAAATTTAAAAGTGACTTTTGAATTAAATAAATTAAAAACAACTTTTTTTTAAATCAATCAAAGCGGACCAAAGCTTCTCGTGGCTGTAGTGGGGAGATTATAGACTTAGAAAAATAAAATAAAATATCCTTTTGTGAATTTTGACTCGTTTCTCCAAGGAGCTAGGACCACCCGTTGGTGCTAAGTATGGATTCAGCTTTCGGATCATATTTGTTGTCTTCAACAAATTCCATTTACATCCCCTTAACTTTTATCATATCCTATTTTCCGCCATAACTTTCAAACATATTGTTATTATTGTCTACATTTCCTAATCTTTCTAATAGCCCAAAATTTTGAATCCTTATATATATATATATATATAGTCCAACTTTGCACTTTTTATCCTGTTAGCTATTTTCTTTAAGTCTAGTTTTTATTTAGAAATCATTTTATCTTTCATCATTCAACTAATATAATAAGTAGAGCATAGAAAATTTTATTATGTGACACCTCGATATTATTAAAATGTTATCTTATAGTTTTAAAACTTGTAAATACAAGTACTTTGCACTTGTTAAGCATTCATTTTTTTTTTTGAAGGGAAATTTAAGCATGAGTTCCAACTTCCAAGGAAAAGTGGGAAATTGCAAACGACATCAACCATAACATAAAAGGATGGCAAGCTCCAAGCAATGGCATAAAATGCGGAAAGAAGAGTTAAAAGAGCAAGAAACGAAAACGACATTCACGAAATAAACGACAATTTTATGAAAAACAACAGTAATAGTATAATACTAAAGACGGCATTGTACCAAAAGCTATAGAAAGAGTTAACCTAGGAACGACACAAGAATGTGAAAATGACAAAAACAAGAAAACAAGAGAGAATTGACAATGATATAATAAACGACAACAGAATTGAAAATATTGACAACACAAAAACGGACAATGACCATAAAAACGGCAATTACCTAAAAGAACGGCACAAACATTAGACAGAGTATGGTATCATTATGGTCCTGAGGAATGGAAACAAACTGAAAATGGCACCAACGCTAAAGCCTAAAAGCAACAAAGGAAATTCACTTCAAAAGGACAACAACATCAAGAGACAAAATTGCGACACTCAGAACCGACCTCAACAACCTATACAAGAATGATACGATAATGGCCTTGAAAACGACAATAATACAAAAACAACATACTGGAAAACAGCAAGAAATGAAAACGACGTGAACATAAAAAACGACAATAAGGTGATAAAACGATAATGTGCTGAAATAAAAACGAAATGGCCTAATAAACGGAAAAAGGACGACAAAAATTTTGTGATAAACTACAATTTCTTAAAAAAAAAAAGGAGGCAAGCAACATAAAAACGACAATTTCCTGAAGGAACAACGGCAACATAAAAACGACAATTGTCGGAAGGAACTACAGCAACATAAAAACACTTATTAAGTTGCTAAGTTGGAAAATGCGTCAATTCAGAGAGCCAAAGTATCAAGAATTCAATAACAAACTTAAATTTTTGAATGTTTAAGGTCCTAAAAGTGATTGACGACTTGTTAAAAATGGGAAAGTTCAGTACTTCACATCTTTGTAATTGCTAAGTTGGAACAAGATCTTGATTAGTGTGACCGTACAAATATTCCAATCCACAACTTCTAGCAGAAAGAAGAGATTCAATAGCGTTTTCATTGCAAATATTTGTTTACATATCTTGATCTTCCTTTCTCAACGGCAAAAGGAAGAACATCGCCCCTTTTCTACAATCATTATTATGTCTGAGAGATCAATCAAAACTCCCCCATTTTTACTCCAACCCCACAAAACCAAAATCACTGTCAAAAAAGTACTAAAATCTTTTCTGTGTCGTTCCAATTTTATTTTATGAGAAGTCCCCAAACAAACCCCAAAGCATCAAAAATCAAAATTACAAATAATTTACATCATTCCAATTACGTTCTAAACAAATTTGGATTCATAACTCAAAATTAAAGTCATTCATATTAATAAAAGAAAAAAAAAATGTTTAGAAAAACAACAAAACAACAAAAAGGCCATAGCATATATACCCTACCTTTAGTACAAAAACAAGAAAATTCCCCAATTTCCCTTCTTTCTCAAGCCCATGAATTATCAAAAGCCGCCGAAGTAATTGCATGAGAGAACTCCTGGAAGCTGATTCTCCCATCACCGTCGATATCGGCCTCTTTGATCATCCCGGTGAGCTCCTCCGCCGTCAACGCGTGGCCTAATCTGGCCATGGAGTGAGCCAGCTCTGCTGCCGTGATGAAACCGTTTCCGTCCCTGTCGAACATCTTGAACAGCTGCCGGAGCTGGCCTTCCGTATAGGGAGACTTCGTCGAGAGGATCTCCGGCGACACGAGTCCCACGAATTCGGAGAACTCAATCAAGCCGTTGTTATTGGTGTCTGCCTTGTTGATCAAGTTTTCTAGCTCGTCGGGGCTCGGCTTTAGGCCGAGCGACCGGAGGAGTGATCCGAGCTCTAACTGCGTCAGGCTGCCGTCGTTGTTGCGGTCAAAGGACCGGAAGATCTCGCGGAGCTCGGCGATTTGATCGTCGTCTAGCTTCACTGGCCGCTGGTTGCTCATGATCATAACAAATAAAATGTACCTCAGAAAACAGTCTTTTCTTTCAAAGGCATAAACTCTTTGGATGAATCTTTAGGATTTTGACAAAATTTTCGTGAGAATTAACAAACCCTTTTGTCTGTTAAATCTGATCTCTAAGTGAATGAATCAAAATCTTGGAAGGATCCAAAGATCTCCTTGGATTTCGTTCAAAAGTGGTTCACTCAAAAGTCGGATCAGATTTCACATTTCCGGGTAGAGCAAAGATAAAAACATCTTGGTGGAAGAAACTTGGTGGTGTATCTTTGTCTGCAAATGATACACACGTATAATTAATAAGTTGGTTGAATTTTCAAACTTCATTTCTTTTTTTATTTTTTTTATTTTGAGTTATTGCCAAATTGTGAAATAACAAGGTGGTAGATGAAAGGTTAAACTTCAGCACCACATATAATAATATAAATATACAGAGACATCATCGTATGGTAATATTACATTACTCCAAAAAAAAAAAGGAAATTCTACGATACAACAAGATATCGATAACATTCTGTTTTGAATCGTAATCTGTACCAAATTATATGCTTAGTTTCGTAATTTTCTTTATTTTCATTCTGATGTAATTTTTGTCAAATCTAAGTTGAAAAACAGATAATAATACCCTACTCGAGAAATGTTCAAATGCAAATATATATATATATATATAGTTATATATGTAGAAGAATTTTCGTATTTGATCGATAACATTCTGTTTTGAATCGTAATCTGTACCAAATTATATGCTTAGTTTCGTAATTTTCTTTATTTTCATTCTGATATAATTTTTGTCAAATCTAAGTTGAAAAACAGGTGATAATACCCAACTCAAGAAATGTCCAAATGCAAATATATATATATATATATATATAGAAGAATTTTCTTATTTGATTCCCGAAGAAAATGCCAACGAGAAAGCGCGGGAAAAGTGGCGAGAATTACGTGAGCAGTGCCCACGTCTACCTGCCGGCCTAGTGGTGTCCACCGTTGGACTTGATCAAAACAAAGCTCATCTCGTGTGGTACTCTTCTTTAGGAGAATGTTGGTAATTGGTATTTTTGCACCAATGAAATACTGACACGTCCTCAAATGAAAAAGATTAGAATGTAGTGTGAGTTGAAATTACGAAATTAGACATGTAATTGCTGTCGTGGCAGGGGGACGTGTCGGGATTTAAATGGATGAGAGATTGTCGAATTGAAAAGGTAATGAGGTCAAGGAATGTTTCCCCAAAAATTGATTAAAAGATGAGTCATTGATTGGGAACGGTGGTCTTGGTGCATGGCCTGAGTTGCGTGATTTTGGGACAGTTGACAACCCTCCATTTGCTTTTTTTTTTTTTTTTTTTTTTTTTTTTTTTTTTCAAACGATTTTTTTTTTAATGTAGAATAGCTATATAGCATTGTGATAGGGTTAATTTTATTTTTAGTCCTCAAATTATAATCAAATTTTATTTTGATCTCTATTTGAGAGAAATATCCTTTTGTTTCTAGTATATCATAGGGATATATATGCTTGAGTTTTTTAAGCTCGAGCAAATTAATAGCTCATGGTGTCAATGCACTTATGTGACATACATAAAGATTATTTTGTTAACATACCACTAATAAATACTAAAAGAAGAATAGTTGAGGTACGCCAAATGATAGTTATTAAAATTTGGTCATAATAGGTAATGTGATAATTAATTTGGCTTGTGCTAAAAGTGAACATAGAAACATTTTTGGCAAAAAGATGAAAAAGAGAATTAGCGGTTTTTTATGTCTCGTTTATTTTATCAATTTGAGTTTTCAGTTTTAGATTTTTACAGTAAAAAACTCTTAGAAAATGTCACTTCATACTTGTTAGACTCTGCAGAACCTTTGCTAACAACGTAAATAATAAATTGATGAGATGAATCGCTCTCAGAAAATGTCACTTCATAATTGAGGTACGCCAAATGATAGTTATTAAAATTTGATCATAATAGGTAATGTGATAATTAATTTGGTTTGTGCTAAAAGTGAACATAGAAACATTTTTGGCAAAAAGATGAAAAAGTGAATTAGCGGTTTTTATTTCACTACAATCCAGTTTGCTTCTAGACATTCAACTTTATCCCTGTATACGCCTTGAACTTTCAACCATGTCTGACTTGCCACTTAAGCTTTTGGACATTTCCTATTTTACCCCTGAATTTTCAATGGTGTATCATTTCTACCCCCACACAGTATGGCCACATTATATAATACTATCTACTTTCTGGACAGTTGTCCTGGGGAGAAGGGCGGAGGGTTTTCTTATTTTTATTGTATGGAGAGCATTTTCTAATTTAAAAGAGGTAAAATAGGACCTTTATAAATTTATTAAAAAAGCAAATATTAGATTTATCCTATCCTAAAGGAATACATACAACATACCAAACATCTATTGTTTTCTCCATTATGCGTCACATTTCTTGGTCTTAAGGAGTAGGGGTCGTCATGCTGTCTACAAATCTAGATATGCATTCGTTTTTTTTTTTTTTTTTTGGCTAGAAACTCGAGAGTACTTTGATGCCTTTGTTTTTTTTTTTTTTCCTCTTAATATTGAAAGTTGAATGAAAATTGATCAAGACAAGAGAGGGTAATTATTGATAAGAGTTAGGTGGAGGTGTCCTCACTATTTTTTTTTTTTTTTTTAAGGAATGCTACTACGGTTAATAATTTTATTTAACTTCCATTATTCCATTATGATATTTGTCTTATTGTTCAAAGACATAAATGACTTGTTTGGTTTTTGGTTTATGAGGGCACGTGATGTCTTTTTATTTCCCGATTTCTTCGTTCCAAAGTCAAGATAATGGCTTAGTTTGGTATTGCTGTAGATTTTGAAAAAAATCACTTTTAGCTGAGCTGAAAGAAAAAACAACTGTTACAAAAAGCAGTTTAGTATTTGGCAAACTATAATTGTAGTAGGTGTGTTGGTTTCAAAATCAGTGTAATAACGTTTGTTAAATTATGAGGTTTAATTGTTGTAAATAATTAAAAAATACGACTATATTATATTATACTATAATATAATATATATAATTACAATATAATATATATTTATTATCATATTTAATATAATACAAAAAACTATTATTATATAATTATGATATAGAATATAATAATATTATTAAAATAATAACTGAAATAATTAAAAATAATGATTATATTATATTATAATTACAATATAATGCATATTTATTATTATATTAAATATAATACAATAAAACTATTATTAAATAACATATTATATAACTATGATATAGAATATAATAATATTATTAAAATGGTTAATATAATTATAATATTATAATATTTCAGTTATATATCATATTATACTTATATTATAATTATAATATCATATCATAATTATATTATAATTATAATATCATATTATATGATAAAATAATAATATTAGAGTTATTAATATAATTATGATATTATTTATTACAATATTACTATTATATTATATTATAATATTATATTATTATATTATATTATATTATGATTCTGAATTTTGAACGGATAAGATTGTAAATTTTAAATTTCATTAGGGGAGTATTATGAAAGTTTCATTAAGTGTACTAATTCCTACACAATCTAAAAGTTAAAATTGTCTTTGGACTGCTTCTGACTTTGACTGTAGATTCTTCAAAAAACACTTTTGAGGAGATTTACTAAACATTAAAATTAACGTTTGCTACAAGCAAAAGCTGATTTTGGGAGTGAAAAGTAAAACCAAACTAAGCCAATGACAACTCTCTTGTGTTAATTTACGTTCTTTTCCCTGAGCAGCTTGTAATAGCAATTTATTTTGTCAAAAAAAAAAAAAAAGTACATATACAAGGTGACACCAATACCATATTTTTCTCTTTATACCGATGAAAAGAGAGAGAGAGAGATATCACGTGTGTATTTATGGATACACCGCACACATAATGTATCTGGCTACTGATATAGAAGAGGACTTCCTTCCTTAGCAAGCACAAAGAGACCGCCGTCCCCTCTTGAGATTCGAAAATCCTCATCAAGGTATGTTATGAGAAGCCAGGACTGGGTCCTCTCACCTGGAATAGGAAGCCTTAGAGGCGGCTGACCCGAAATAGCCCGTGAAATATTTGCCGCAGCCTCCTGAATAGGATTGAGAGTTTGCTGCAAAGGAGACAGGCTGATTTTCTGCCCAAAAATATCCACCTCTCTGGGGAGATCGACACTAGACTTTATTTCTGGAGCTTGAAAGGTACCTTCCTTGAATTGAACCTGATATATTGATGAGTTAGCTAGAAAGTTAATGTTACTCATCTAAACCAATGTGGTAAACTTGTTGACCAGTTCTACATTATCAAGAAAGGCTTCTTGGTCTATAAAGCTTAAATCTGTAATTGGTAATCAACCAATTCGGTTCTAATTCATTCATTATGTCCTTTTTTTATTTCGTTATTCACCATAGCAAATTCAGTCCTGGTAGAATGTCCTCAAGTCAGATACCAGAGCAAGTAAGCTAAGGATACCTGTATTCGGAAGGGACTGCGAACTTCAAAAGTAGCGGTTGCACTGAATGAGAAAGTCGAAACGGGGCTGGACAGTGTGGTTGAGTTCACAATAGTGAGATTGCTGGTGTCAATTGATTGGCATATCTTATCCACTTTCAACAATGGCGTTGAACCTGCTGCCAAAAGTGGCAACAGCTCAGAAAACCCAGTGTACCTGATGAAATCCAAAGGAGTCTTCAGTTAAAAATATATACGTGTGTGTGTGTGTAAAAATCAAATGGAAACTAAAGAGGAACAACTGCAGTTGATAAAATCATAATGAAAAAGAAAAAGATAATAGCATGGACCACGCAGTAGATATTCTAAACAGGCCACTAAATCAGTCATTTCCTAGGCCTCCATATGAAAATAATCAGACAAGCTAACATTTCCCTCAACATTCAAGACTTGGTTCCTAAAATTTCCCACTTTCACAAATTTTACACACTTTGTACTTTTGAGGACTCTATAAATGCACTAGTAAAATTATAGAAACAATCTGTTCCAGTACCACACCAGTACAACATTCCAAAAAGCATGACCACTGACATAAGGTCTTTCCCCGTCAAATCTAACCTGGGACTTCACTAGAAATCATCCAAAATAGTAGTTGGCACACTGGGGCAACTTCCCCTACATCAAAATAGCCAATGCTACCAGAAAACAAACCACAGCGAGCAACTTCATGAGCCACTCTATTGCATGAGTAGAAGATGAGGAAGGTTTCACAAAAATGTCTGGGTTGCATGAATAGCCATACAATTGATAAATTTTAGCCATCCATAAATTAACAGGTTAAGATATGCAAAACAATTTCGCCAGCAGATACACTCAAATATAAATGAAAATCTAGAATAAGATTAAGTACCCAAAATTGAAGGGAAGGAAAATGAAACGAAATAAAATAGAGAGGACGAGAAATTCTAAGTCATGGGATTGTGATTGGCAAGCATCAAAATTCCATAGTAACAATGCAAAACATGATCATCAAAACCTAAAGCCAACTTTCAAGCAAAATCTAATACCATAGCTCAGCCCTCATCTGCCATCTATATTTTGGAACCAAGTTTCTAAAAGTAAACTGTTAACTAAACAGCCAACCAATCTTTTATATGAGGTAGTTGCGCAACCCCAAAGTTTTTCAAACGCAATGAAACATATCCGCAACTCTCTTGCCCCTTGCCACCTTCCTTTTTTATTCTTCTCCACTCCCTCAATTTAAGATGACAAACTCATTTTCTAAGTTCCCAAATAACTACGTAGAAAACTCAAACCATTTACATCTATTATGAAGCTGTTCCCTATCTGTCATCATTCCCCTCTCTCTATATATTGCTCAAAACTCAATAATTCCTATCCAAAAAAAAAAAACAGAGAGACATTCAAACATTGAGAAAGATAGTGAGCATACCCTGATGTAGCATGATCCCAATTTCATTACCACACATTCAAACACATATAAAGCCCAACTCTTCCCACACAACAAAAAAGAGTCATTCTCTTAACATGTAGAAACAATATCATCATCTCAACAACTCTGCAAGGTAAAATTTCTGAGCTAATACTAAAATTTGGTATTTTGGTAAAACATCATTATCCAGTGCAATTTTATACATAAGCTAAATTTAACATATGTTATATATTTGGTTTCTAATTTATCACCAAACACCCATTTGTTTCGCAAGTTTGATTGTTATTAGTTGATATGTTGAATTTTTCACACACACTATCATTTTCAAGTTGTTTAAAAATTTAAAATTTACTTGTACAAGTTCTAAAGCTTAAAATTTATGAAAGTATTTAAACTCCGTTTATTTCACCAATTTGAGTTTAAACTCTTAAAAATAGTAACATTTAACTTTTTATTACAGTAACAAATTCTCCCTAAAAAACAGTATCATTCAGTAAAAAATTCTCACATAAATCACATTTCAACTCAAACTAAAAACTTGAATCAGTAAACTAAACCTAAACGGCGCTTAATATGTCACTGCAAAAATCAGAACACAAAATGAAACTTACAACAAAACCCAGTTGCCACCAAGAAGTTCCAGTGCTTGGGTCGGGGCCGGAGTCGGGTTCAAAGCCTCCAACTGGTTTACCAGCTCAAGAATCTCCGCTCTCTCCTCCAACCTCGCCCGAAAGCCCAACTCAGTCCCATAAATACTGTCCACCAAACACCTCTTTAGCTCCAGAAGCTTCTCCTTCACCAAATCCTCCTTCGTTTCAGTCTCAGTCTCAGTCTCACCATCCCCAACCTCACTATCTCCACGGCCATTGCCGATTCCTCCGGCATACCTGTCATCTTTCCCCCACTCGTCCTCGTCCTTCGGAGGGTCCGAGGCCGAAAGCTTCGTGTACGAGGATTCAGGCTCGGGGTCGGATTTCTCGCCCCATTCGTCGGTGACCTTGGGCGGATCGTCGCCGGAGGGTTCATCGTCGGAGAGGGAGGAGTGTCGGCGGAGGGAGCGGAGGCGGAGGGCTCTGGTGGGTGTGGTTATGGAGGGGAAGGAGAGAGAGGAAAGAAATGGGAATGGTTGTTTGGTGGGGATTGGGGAGGAGAAGAAGGAAGAAGAAGAAGAAGAAGAGTGTGGTGGAGAGGTGAAGAGTAGAAGAGCCATGGCCGTGGGGTTGTTCGCGTTTCGTGTTTGTGTCGTTTTCTGGTCTGGGACTGTAATGAACGAACGAACGACTATTTTTTCGGTAAAAGTTGTGGAAAAGGAGGAAGATCTGTGTGTTGTGGTGTGGTGGACTCGTGGCCTTGTTGTTTGTGGGCTTTTGAGTTTTGTGTCCGAACAAATTATACTCTTTTAACTTCTTTTTTTTTTTTTTTTTCACTAAAAAAGTAGGGGAAATCTATGGTAGGGGGATGAACTTTTCTCCTACGATAGAGTACAATCCAATAATGATTGTGGTCAGATTTGTTATGGGGCCCGTGGTTATACAAAGATACATGGCAGGTGTTGCCCATCAGCCATGAAACAATCGGCTTGAAATCTCTAGGTCCGTTCATTTTGCTGATTTGAGTTTATAATTTGAGTTGAGATGTGATTTTATGTGAGAGCTTTTTACTATAACAAAAAAGTTAAATGTGACTATTTTTGAGAGCTTTTTACTGTAACAAAACTCGAATTCTAAACTCAAATCGACGAAATGAACGAGACCCTAATTTCTCACTAGTACCCAACTCCATTGCCAACAAAAAAGAAATCATTTTTAATTAAGTCCTAATATTCAAAAGTTAGAATCTTGGTTAACTTGAATCGGAAACAAATTAAGTAAAATAATCTAAAAAAAATGATAAGAAAAGATGAACAAACAAATCAATAACGAATCAAGTCCTAATATTTAAAATTTGGAGTATTGGTTAACTTGAAATTGTAACAAACTAGCAAAATAATTGTGTTTAACTAAAAAAATTGTTATTCAACTTCTACTCTCTTCCCATCTTTACATTCAAAATAACTAGTTTTGATATATCAGAGTCATGAGCTCTTCGTCAAATCTAGATTTGAATCATCAATGGTTCTTGAAGTTGGAGAATGCAGGCGAAATCTCCCTCCCGCGGTCATGATTATTGTCGATGTGGCAATCAGCAACCAGCTGCCTCTGAACAACGAGATCCAACCTCGACGTCGATGCTTAAGAGCTCTGTTCGCCATGGGCTCGCCCACATCAAATCTAATGCGTGGAGTTTGCATTTCCGTCACGATCTTCATCACTATCAGATCTCTCTCTATGTTTCGATCTCTTATCATCATAATTAGAGAACACTGGTGGTCCTCTATTTTTTCCGATAGGAAATTAACTAGAAATTTTTTTTTAACTGATGAGATTGAAGCTTTGTCATTTTTTATGTTTTATTTCTTAATTTGATATTGAATCATATGTGAACAGTTTTATTTTAATTTGGTAATTTTTAATCTTTTTTAACCGTTGGATTGAAATTGTAGGGTATATAATTTGCACCTTATTAGTAGGGGAAAAGTACACCCCTATCATAGAATCTCCTAAAAAAGTATTGGTCAGTTTTAGAAAATAAAAAAGTACAAAATTGTTTCTGTAGTTTGAATTTTTTTCTGATTTATTGTGCTTTGTCGTCTTTAAACTTTTCTGGTTGTCTTCTAAACTTTTTATTTTAGTAAATTACTTTTTTTTTTACGAAATTAAGTAAATTACTTATTTTTTTAGTATATTACAAATTTTGTTGACGGAATTTAATAAATTACTTATTGAACTTAATAAAAAGTTACAAAATACCACAAAATCAAATGATTATGATAAAATTTGGACAAAAATTGCCTTGGTGCACGAAATATGACATGTTCTGTCGTTGTTTAAAAACTTCAATATATGTTAGGTGTGTTTTCGTTTGATGTTTAATAATTATCTTTTGGTAGTCTTTTACACTTTATCAAATTTAAAAGAAAATTCCTAAAACCTTTATAAGTATAAAAAACACTAAATACTAAAAAAGATTAACCTTTGACATTTGGAAATTATAAAGATGTATGCATTTAAATTCTAGATTGTTTACAACTAGGCAAGTAAACATAACAACATGGGTTGACAACAGGTTCCCAACCCCATGCCCACAACAAGAAACCCCACCTCCAAGACATTAAAAACATGTTCTCGACCCTATATGATGATCTAGATGTTGCTGTTCACAAATTTTGGTGGACTAGGGATGTCAATAAAAATAGGCACCTTGCCTTGCAAAGATGATATTTGCTTTGTCATCCAAAGTCTCGACGATGTTTGGGTTTCAGAAGGTTCAAAAATATAAATAATGCCTTTATAACCAAAGTGGCTTGGAAGATTACCGAAGGAGATGATTCCCTATGCGCTTGTATTGTTAAGGCTAAGTATTGTAGGGGCCAAGGATTTTTCTCTAGTGTTGCTAAGCCAATGGACTCTCCTGTCTAGAAAGGTTTTTATCGTACAGGAATCTTATTTTAGAGAACAATTAGTATGTGATTAGGGATGGTTCTTCAATGCCAGTTCTTAACGATCCTTTGAGACAGTAATTCTTTTCTATTCTTTGTTCTGATATTATGCAACTACATTTATGTGCTTATACCTCTGTAGCTTCCTTGTTCCTTCTTCAACTTAGATGTGGGACAAAGGTAAGCGTAATGACCTTTTTACTCCTAGAGTGGTGGAGTCCATCCTGTCTCTTGAGTGATTGCCTCTAGAAAATAAAGATATTCTGTGTTGGAAGCAGTGGAGGAAGGGGAGCTTCTCTATGAAAGGTGCTTATTGGGTTGTGAGTATGTTAAGGCCCCAATTAGATTCACATATGCCAGGAGGCCGAAGGCCCAGACGAAAGCCCAGGGACAGGAGGAGAATTTGGTACAGACTGCTGAAGGTATTCCCGAGGAAGAAATGGGTTGAAAAGAATCGTCTCGGGATTGCAAAGACTGTTAGAAGTTGTTAGGGAATTCTGTTATTCTCTGGGTGAGTGTGGAATAAAAGGAAGGAAGGGATGTAGGTATACGCAGACATTTAGTGAGTGAGAAGAGTTCACTTAGGTGGGAGAGCTAGCAGACCTCTCCAATAGTCTGCAAATTTTTCTTCATTGTATGTGTTTTCTTTCTTAAGTAAATAAAGAACAGAGCACCTCCTGCTTAGTACCAACTCAATTCTTGTTCCAATTATTCTGGGTTGTATCAAATTGGTATCAGAGCGATACGATCGGGGAAGAATGGCAGTGAAGAAGGTGGAGGAGTGGTTGGGCGTTATGGAGGAGCAGATCGGCTTTGTGTGGGGAGACATCTAGTGCGAGATAGAATCTGTTAAGGGAGATCTGCAAAAGCTGCCAGAGCTGGAGAAGGGAATGGCCGCACTCAACGTGAAACTGGAGATGTGGCTGAAATCGCAGATGGCGGCGGTGGGGAGACGTCAAGAGCCTTCGGAGGACCCTCTCCACCACAGCGCGACGTTTGTGGCAGGGGACATGGAGCGGAGCGGCGGACATCGGGAGCCTGATTGGAGATACGAAGGGAGAGGACGGAGACTGGAAATGCCGATCTTCGACGGAAACAACCCCGACGGTTGGGTTTTTCGAGCAGAGCGATATTTTAACATGAACCGTTTGTCTGAGGCGGAGAAGTTGGACGCTGCTGTCATCAATCTCGATGAGGATGCCCTAGCTTGGTTCCAGTGGGCGGATGGGAGACGAGCTATCCGAGATTGGGAGGATTTAAAGATGATGATCCAAGACCGGTTCCGACCGACACAAGAAGGTACGGCATATGAGCAATTCCTTACTCTACGACAAGAAGGGTCGGTGGATGAGTACCGCAGGCAGTTCGAACTCTTGGCAGCTTCATTGGTGGATATACCCGACCCCATCCAGGAGGGAAACTTCATTAACGGACTTAAGCCCGAGATTAGGGCTGAGGTTCGCATTGCCCAGCCCAAAGGATTGGGCGGGATTATGGATTTAGCCAAAATAGTGGAGGAGCATAATGATATGTTGCGTAAGCCCAGAGGCCCTTTTCCAGCCCAAGGCCGAGCTCCAGTTCCTGGCTTACACATTAACTTCAGAGCCCAGCCATCCACGTGGAACAGGACGCCACCGCCTCACGAGAGGCCAACATGTAATAGATTTGAACCTAATAACTCTGTGACCTTCCGATGTTTGTCTGAGACCGAGTACTAGGCCAAAAGAGCAAAAGGATTGTGTTTTAAATGTGATGAGAGGTTCAACCCTGACCATGTTTGCAAGAAGAAATAGTTGCAGGTGTTGCTTATGGAGGATGGGGGGGAAACTCAGGATGCAGTCGAGGAAGAGGAAGATACGGCAGCACCTGAGATGGGGGAGTTGGTCAAATTTCTCTGAACTCGGTGGTGGGATTAACCACCCCGAAGACCATGAAGATGAGAGGACGGGTGGGACCCCAAGAGGTGGTGGTCCTGGTGGATTGTGGGGCTACCCACAATTTTGTCTCCTCGATTTTGGTTCAGAAATTAGGGATTCCAGTGGTGGGAACAGAGGGGTATGGGGTGGTAATGGGCACCGATATTTCGGTTCAAGGGAAGCGGTGTGTGCAAATGAGTGGGGCTAACTTTGGTAGGGTTAGAAATCGTGGATGATTTCCTGCCCCTGGAATTGGGTAGCTCAGATGTCATTCTAGGAATGCAGTGGTTGGGTACGATTGGAGGAATGCATGTCAACTGGCAGACACTCACCATGAAGTGCCGGATGGGTGAGGTTCAGGTAACCCTGCAAGGAGAACCTAGACTGAGTGAGTCTTTCGTGTCCCTGAAGTCAATGATGAAAGTTCTGAGAAAGGAGAAGAAGGGTTATTATTGGAGTTTGGACAGGGGTCGGATGGCTTGGAGAGTGGTTGTGGGCAAGACGAGCAAGCTCCAGTCCCTATACACACACTGCTGCAACAATATTCCACAGTCTTCGAGATGCCTAAAGGGCTTCCTCTTCGGCGGAGTCGAGACCATGCCATTATCCTCCGAGAGGGTACATCCCCCATCAGCGTAAGGCCATATCGGTACCCCCAATCCCAGAAGGATGAAATAGAACGTTTGGTTAAGGAGATGCTGCAATCTGGATCATTCAAGACAGTTCCAGCCTGGTGTTACTCGTTAAAAAGAAAGACGGAAGCTGGAGGTTTTGCGTTGATTATCGCGCTCTTAATCAAGCAGCGGTGCCGAACAAGTTCCCAATACCAGTCATAAATGAACTCCTCGACGAGTTGCATGGAGCTTGTATTTTTTCGAAGCTAAACCTCAAGTCCGGTTATCACCAAATCAGGGCATTATGAGTTCCTGGTGATGCCTTTCGGGCTCACTAATGCGCCGGCAACTTTCCAATCGTTAATGAACGATGTCTTCAAAGCCTTCCTGCGGAAATTTGTCCTAGTCTTTTTCGATGACATCCTCATGTATAGCACAAGTCCAGAGGACCATGTGGGGCATTTGACTCAGATATTAGAGGTGTTGCGGCAACACCAATTATACGCCAACAAGAAGAAATGCAGTTTTGGCCAATCACAATTGGAGTACCTCGGCCATATCATTTCTGCAAAAGGGGTGGCAGGGGATATGAAGAAGGTGGTTGCCATGCTGACATGGCCAACTCCATCATCACTCCGGGAACTCAGGGGTTTCCTGGACCTTACCGGTTATTATCGAAAATTTGTCCAGGGTTATAGGAGCATTGCATGGCCTCTCATGGACCAGCTTAAAAAGGACAATTTTGGTTGGACGGTTGAGGCTGACCGAGCCTTTCAACAGCTTAAGCAAGCCATGTCATCCGTACCCGTGTTGGCTTTGCCAGACTTCTCATAGCCGTTTGTAGTCGAAACAGATGCTTCAGGCTATGGATTGGGGGCAATTTTGTCTCAAAACCAGCGGCCAATTACTTATTTCAGCCACGTCTTGTCTCCTCAGGGCCGGTTGAAGTCTGTCTACGAACAGGAGCTTATGCCTATCGTTCTCGCCATCCATAAGTGGAGGCCGTACTTGCTGGGGCGGCGGTTCATTGTCCGGACTGATCAGAGTAGCTTGAAGTATTTACTCGAGCAGCGGCTAGTTAGCTCGGAGCACCAACGATGGCTTTCCAAGCTTCTGGGGTATGACTTTGAGATCCAATACCGTTCGGGGACTGGGAATAAGGCAGTGGACACACTTTCGCGAATTACTCCAGTTCCCTCGTCTTCTTTCTCATTTCTCTCTGTTTTGAAACCCTTGAATTTAACAGAGATACAGCAGCAACTTAGCCAGGATGCACGCTTATGCCAAATCTAGCGGGCCATCCAGCAAGATCCTTCGGCTTATCCAGGGTTTTCTATAGGGCAGGGTCGGTTGTTATTCAAGGGCCGAATGGTGATTCCCAAAGCATCCCCTTTGTCCACACTCTACTTCGGGAGTACCATGACAGTCCCATTGGTGGTCACTCCGGAATGTTCAAGACATATAAGCGTTTGGCAGTGGAATGGTATTGGCTAGGCATGAAACGAGATGTACAGGCCTATGTGGCTCAGTGTCCCACTTGTCAACAAAATAAGAACCACTCCTTATCTCCGGGGGGACTATTGCAGCCCTTACCTCTTCCGGATAGGGTATGGGAAGATGTGTCGATGGATTTCATCGAAGGGTTGCCCAAATCGGAAGGGTATGACTCCATCTTTGTAGTCGTGGATCGGCTCAATAAGTATGACCATTTCATTTCTCTGCGCCACCCCTATACAGCCCACTCGATTGCTCAAACATTCATGAAAGATGTGGTTAGATTGCACGGCATTCCCCGCTCCATCGTCTCCGACCGTGACAAGGTATTCCTAAGCACCTTTTGGTCTGAACTTTTTCGTTTGCAGGGAACCTCTCTTACCCACAACACGGCGTATCACCTATAAACGGATGGGCAGACCGAGGTCGTGAACCGATGCATTGAAACTTACCTCCATTGCTTCGCCTTGGATAAGCCCCGCCAATGGACGAAGTGGCTGGCTTGGGCAGAATATTGGTATAACACGTCCTTTCATTCGGCGGCACAAGCCACACCTTTCCGTATCCTATATGGACGTGACCCACCTCCCCTGGTCTGCTATATGTGACGCCTCCTACCCTAGCAGCGGGTCGCCAACCTTAAACTACTACTATTAGGCCGAGTTATAGACTAATCTATTACTTGTTATTAGACTATCGCCTCTTTAATTTACGTTTTTGTACGAGTAAATTTTTTTTTCTTTAACCCTCAGGTTCTTAACATATTCCTAGCATGTTCTTTTGTTATACAACTACTTATCCTTGCTAATACTTTAAGAAATCGGATATGGTACAAGTCCCTGAAACTTATCTTAACTTATTCAGTATATTGTTCTTTACTAAGACAATGACCGTAACATATTTTCCTTAAAACTGAAACATATAAACTTGGTTCTATATTACATTACTCTGCAACGGAATTTAATTTCTAAACGAGCGTAGTAGAAACCACTCCCGTGTACCCATGACATTTCTGCCACCTTTGCCTCTGCCGGTCCATCAAGCAAAACCACTATATGGCTGGCTGCTTACCTTTGTTACCTGCACACGAGTAAACTGATGAGCTAACGCTCAGCAAGTATAAAAATGCACACATCATAAACTAGAAAAGAATTTCATTAAAAGTTATGATGCAAATATGCTCGTGTGAAACATGCTTTCTGTCGTTTTGTTCTTACTACTATGGGCCTGAGTCCCTGCTTATTGTCTTGTTACTGTGGGCCTGGGCCCCTGCTTACTATCTGGTCTAGTCGGAATCTCTACTCTTTGAGATTTTCCTCCCTTGGGAGGCTGACGACCCGTCAGTCTCTTTACATTACTGAACTTTGAGTTTTTTTCATTTCAAAGTGTTAAAAACTTTACTGAATGATATGCAACGTTTCTTTACGTGCACATGCTAACATAAAATGCATAATACTACTTGCATGCTTTAACTGTGTATAATGGTAGCCATATGTCGCCCTTCTGCAATCTAGGGCACTAAGCCCTCCAAACACGTATAATCACATATAATCACATAGACTTAGGAACATAAGTAAATTCATAGTTCTAAGTCTAACTACAGCTTACTCGAGTTCAGACAAACATATATGTCTATACTTACTTATAATTCGCTAGGATTCCCGCTTGCTAGAAGTTCTTTCTCATTGTCTCGGCTCTCGTGCCAAAACCTGTTTCATAGAAATAAGTATAAATTTCCTATTCTAAATCACAATTCTTCATACTTAGATTCTTAAAATCTAATTTCAAACTCATTTTTGAACCTTTTTTTCCTCTAGGTCGAATCCTAGTTTAAGAGGTAAATTACACATATTTATGTATCTCGGTTTCTGAACCTTAATCTGTTCATTTCCGAGCTTTAAAACTGTTATTCATTCTCTAGAATCAATTACTAACTCATTGCTTACTAACTAACTTTTAGGAAATTTTGGCAGAGTTTTGCCTTACTTTTCTCATTTCTCGAGTTTTCAATAACTCGTTCTACTTTCGATTTCGGTACCTAGAGTCAAGATTCACATTCCTGAACACAGATTCCAACATAAAATTGAACAAAACATATGTTCTTTCTTAATCTAGGGTCACAGATTTTCAATAGAAATCCACCAAAATTTCGTTCAATCGTTTTAATACTTACACTGTTAGACTCCTATTACGATGTTCTACAAAACCACGCTTTCAATTTTCACTTTAACGGAAGTTTTCCGAGATGAGTTACTATTCATTCAAATTAAGAAATCATAGAATTCTCATGAAAAATCCGAAATCTTACCTCCAGAAGTTGAGGTTTTTTCGCTAAAATGCCTCAGGTTACGTTTCTACCGGATTGAACGGAAGAAATCTCAATGAAAATGCTTGATTTTCCTTCCTCCGTCTCTCTCTAGCAACTATCTTTTTTTTCTTTCTTCGTAACTTTCTCACGTCCTTTTTTTTTTTCCTCTGCTATACTTCACGTGAAGTATGTAATAACCTTTGCTTTTGTTTTTCCACGTGAGATTGACATTGGTAACTTCAGCCGCGAGTCACCCTTCATGAAATAACTTAAACGTATATAATAGCAAGTGGCATTCTGCATGTGAGGCATACATCCACCTCACGGTAACTATCCTTTTCACCTTTTTTTTTTACACGTACTTAGATAATCTAATATATATATATATATATATATATATATACTATAGCTTAAAGATAATTTAATATATATATATATATATATATGTATATATATATTATAATTTTATTCAATCTACTTTTATTCTTTGCTATATCCAAGATACGTGCTAGCAAATGAGTGGGTTCTATACTCCTCAAATTTTTCTTGTCGAGACCTAACTTTCTGTTTTTCAAAACGAGTCTCTTTCTGGTACTAATAATTTCACAATCAGTACAGGTTCTATACTATTTTTATGGACTATCGAGTACCCTGAGTCAAACTTCTCATGTTCAACCCAATTCTCTTGGGTATCTCATTAGTCAATTTCTTTTTCTGAAATTTTCATTTTAATTGATTCAGAAATTGCCCAAAACGCGTACCCTTGCGGTACTCATTTTTTAGCAGTTTCTCACTTTAACTGGCTCGAAAAAATTCTGTTTCAGGAACTTTTGTTATTTTCCTTACTCTAATATTTCTACTCTTTTTCTAGTTGATTATTTGGTCACAAACCAAATATTTTTGTTTTTTATAACTAAAATGTACCCGCTAAAACTTTTAACTTTTAACTGATATTTTACTATTCATAATTGATATTTACGAAGTTTCTTTATAAACATATTCGTATTATAACTTTACATATTTCGGGAAATTCTACCCCGTACTTAAAGTTCCTACATAATATTTTATTGATTACATCAAAATTCTACTACTTACTATAGCTCGGGGACCACGATGGTTTCTTCCGTCAAGTAGCAGTTGGCTTCAAGGGATGGCATGCTTGACAAACTCAAACAACATTTGATCCGTGCTCAAGAGCGCATGAAGCAGGAGGCGGATAAACACCGGCGGAATGTGCAATTTGCTGTGGGTGATATGGTTTACCTTAAGCTCCGCCCCTATCGGTAGCGGACACTTGCCACTCGACGCAATGAGAAGTTGGCTCCCCGTTTCTATGGCCCATATGAAGTGTTGGCGCGGATGGGCATGGTGGCTTACAAGCTACACCTGCCTGAGGGTGCCCAAATTCACCCTGTGTTCCATGTTTCCCAGCTGCGCCGGGCAATTGGCGCCACACAGTCCTCCCATCAGCTTCCACCCCAACTGTCGGCTGACCACGAGCTCTTAGTGGAGCCCGAGCAGGTGTTGGGGGTTCATCCCAGAACGGACGGTCAGCCAGGTGTACTTGAGGTGCTGCTCCAATGGCGTGGGCTTCCCGCCTTTGAGGCTACTTGGGAGCCGTTCTCCATCATTCAGCAACAGTTTCCTGCCTTTCCCCTTGAGGACAAGGTGAAACTGTGGGCGGCGAGTAATGTTAGACCCCAATTAGATTCACATATGCTAGGAGGCCGAAGGCCCAGACGAAAGCCCAGGGACAGGAGGGGAATTTGGTACAGACTACTGAAGGTATTCCCGATGAAGAAATGGATTGAAAAGGATCGCCTCGGGATTGCGAAGACTGTTAGAAGTTGTTAGGGAATTTTGTTATTCTCTGGGTGAGCGTGGAATAAAAGGAAGGAAAGGATGTAGGTATAGGCAGGCATTTAGTGAGTGGAAAGAGTTCGCTTAGGTGGGAGAGCCAACAGACCTCTCTAATAGTCTGCAAATTTATCTTCATTGTATGCGTTTTCTTTCTTAAGTAAATAAAGAATAGAGCAACTCCTGCTAGTACCAACTCAATTCTTGTTCCAATTATTCCGGGTTGTATCAGAGTAGAGCTTGCTTCGATCCAAAATCTGATATTTGGACTCAGCTTTGGAAGGTAGATCTGCGTGACATATTAAAGTTGATGCTTTGGAGAGTTAGGGTGGATATTTTGCAGACAAAAGCTAGGCTTCAAAGTTTTAAGTCCTCAACAAGATCCCTCTTGTATTCTATGCTCTGGTGGCGCGGAGACAATCGTTCATTTATTTGTTAAGTGCCCTGTAGCCCGTGCCATTTGGTTTGGCTGGCGTTGGTGCGTGAAATGGGAAGCTAGGAGAGCGCATAATCCAATGGACTTCTTGGAGGCTTTGCTTACTGCTCCGAGTTGCATCTTGGCTTTCAAACCTTTTCTCTGTCTTTGTTTGGAGCATTGCTGGTATAGCTTACATGGTCTACAAGAAGGTGGATATTATTCCACTGCTTCTAAGTCGTTTAAACAAGCATTTTGCAAAACATAGTTCAGCTAGTAGATGTGGCGGTGAACCTGCTTCTATTACTCCTTCCATTTCTGATTTGTGGTCTCCTATTGATGATTATGTGAAGATTAATACTCTTCAGGTTCGCCTCTGATCATATAGATGGGTTTTGTACTTGCTCAGTCTTCGTCAGAGGCTGAAACTTTAGTAGTTCTTCGGGGGAGTTTAGTTGGCAATTACTAAAGGCTTGCAGAGAGTTTGCTTTAAAGGTGATTTTTAAAGAGCTCTATGATGCTCTTCAAGCTCATTCTACCAGTCCTGATTGGAAGATTTTGCCTTCATTCTTGAAGGCTAGATCTTTAGCTAGTGTTAGTGCTGTCACCTTTGAATGGGTTCCTCTGCAAGTGTAACGTAATAGCTCATCTTGTGTGTAATTGGGTTGCAGAAGTTGTTCCTTAAACCGGTTACTTTTGGAGAATTCTCATTAACAATATTCATTTCATTCACCTAAAAAATAAAAAAAGCCCCACCTCTGCCATGCGCCCCGAGACGATCATAATAATGCCTCATGAATCCGCCCTACAAGCGGGCGGGTACTCGTTCGGTAAAACATAATTACTTGTGATCTTAGGGACCCATAAAAAGAAACTGTTAGAAATTGAGAGAGTTGCGCATACGATCTTGCAGTACCATTTACTCCCTACGAGTTTAGATTGGCAAAATAATCTCGATCGTTTTCAAATTTGCAGGCATTTTCACTTGAAATTGGTTCGATGTTTTACTCAATTTTTCACACCCAAACAACAGTTGGCCATTGTATTTCTGAGGAATTTTTGTTGGTCTAAATTGTTTTCGTATATTATATTCCTCAAGTTTTCTATATATTCTATTTATTTGGGACTTTCAACTTTGCATATAAGTAATTTGGAGGTAACCAACATAAATCCAGAGTGATCAAAACCAACCATGTTATCATTTACCACGGACTCTTCAATAAAAGGAAACTTGGTGTACACGCATATTGCATGGGGAACGTTTAATGAGACGAAGAGTAAATTCACGAGTCAATTCGCCCCATGGAATTGTTGGCACTTTGGTTCCAGACTATAATGACCCATGATAAATAATCTGTAGGTTACTAGTGAGGAAAAAAGAAAAATAATAATGAAACACAAAAAACATCTTTACTTGCAATACCTCTATCAAATCATATTTGCCAACAAAATAAACAAGGCAGCAACTTTTCAGCAGTTTGCCCTCAGAATAACAGAAATCTAACACTGATAAAGACCCCTACGACTAAAATCACAACAGCATCCATGATCCAACCATCTTCTTTTCTTTCTTTTCTATGTTTATCATTTCCCCGTTTCGGAGATGTATGAAAAGAAAAAAAAAAAAGCATAAAAACCAAGCGTGAAAAATCATGCAGACATGAAAGTACCTCAATTAAATGTAAAAGACGTTCCCAAGGAAAGAATTAATACATCCTACACAAGACGGTAAAAATACTTGTATTATGCTTTCTTCTTTTTGGATTTGAGCATCACCAGTCCAACGAATACGCATAACAAGCAGAGAAGCACCACGCCGGCAAATACGGGTATTAATATGGCATATTCTTGGGGTAGGAAGTACTGTTGGATGAAGTGATCACTGTCTACAAATGGCTGAAACATCGTATGACAAGGGGAAAGAAACTAGCAGCAAGTTAGCAAAAGGAACAAGGACGCAACACTTATTACTGAGAAAACAATTAGAATGTTAGACATGTAATCTACATGGAAGAAAAGGATAAATTTACCAGGATGATGACCCAAAATGTGTAATAAGTGAATATAGAGAGACTGATAAGCGATAATAAGAACCCAACTGCCCTGTCTGCCAATTCCATTCTGATATTCCTGGCTTTACTGCCTGCTAATAGGAATTCGATGAAGATAAGCATCTTACATATCAAACACTCCGATTTGGAGTAATCATTTACATTTCAATTTTCAGAGGCTTGTGCCTCATATCCAATCCCACACGAGTCCACAAAAGAATATGAAAGTAAAACGCAGGATTCCACATATTGGGTTTTGCATAATTCCTAATTCAAGCAACCAAAACACTCTCAGCAAATAATTTGAGATGTAGTAACATCAAATGAGTAGAAAATCCTCGGCATGAGAACAGAGGTAAAGAGAGAAACAGATATAGGGTGAGTTACAATAGAATAGCGTTTCGGTAAAACTAACGATCCACCACTGAAGGATTCGACATAAAACCCACCTCACGGGAAACGGAAAGTGTAAACAATAGCTGCTAAAAAGCTACTAATGAGCCAGTAGGATTCACAAAGTATTCGAGCATCTAGTAGAAATATGCAATCTGCTTGCTAAAAAGAAATTTTCTCATATAAACAGCTCCACTTAACACAGAACAAAAGCCAACACAGTCATTTTACAAGTAACAAAAAACTGTGTCATTAAGTTTCTAAAAACTAGTAATTAGACATCCGCCTTCCAAAATCTTAAGCTTCTCTTCGTGGGCGTAAATTTCGTATTTGACGTAAGACAACCAGAACATTCAGAATGAGAAAACGTAGCTTCTAAAGGTAAAATTTAAATCAGGCGCTTTGAAAGGCAGGCACATATACAAAAATGAGATAAGTCTCATCCATTGGGTTCTACGTTAGATTGCGGAGCTTAATTATTGCCCTGATCTACAGAAAACACGAGAATCGACATTCTTCGTAGTAAATTACCGTAACAGCAGAAATTGAATGTAGCTATCAATAATTTCAACATTCTAAAATTAGAAAAGACGTTCTCTTTAGACCACTAATGAGCCATTGAAGAGTAGTCCAAGAATAATCACCTAGAAAAAAAATAAAAATAAAGTACTGAGCCAAAAGGAAATTCCCAAAACTCTCAAAACCGTGATTATACATAGACGCAAAAAAATAAATAAAATAAAACTAACAACAACAACAACAACAACAACGATTTCCTTCAAGAATTGGTTGAATCAAACGGAAGCGGTAAAGCCAAAGAGAGAAGTTGATTTTCCTAAAATTCGATCGAAAACTTATACTTTTCTAAGATATATAAACTTGGTTCAATTCCGCGAGCAGATTAAGAAATTCCGAAATTCTGAGAAATGCGAAAAGGAAAGAGTAAGATTACAATGAAGATCACGCGAAACTCACGTTTTATCGATCACGATCGAAGACAAGACCTACGAGACAGCTCAGTTGTCGTCTTGTTTGGGTTGAGACTTGAGAGGGAAGGATTCGGAGCGGAGAAAATAGCAAAATGGGTGCATACCGTTTGGTTACGCCTATATCAGGTTTTGCGAATTTGTAATATATTCCAATATTATTGTTTTTTTTTTTTTTTCCTTTTTTGCTGAATAATATTGTTTTGTTCAGATTTGATTGAGAATTATAGGGATAGATTATTTAAAGAAAATTATATACACAAAATCTTAAGTCCGGTATTTATACAGTCTGTTTACTTTTATCATATTTCTGTATAACATCTGTTAATTTTTATCATAATCCTGTCTATCGTTTTTACGTTATGTAACACTTAACTTCTAATCGCATAAATTATTCACATAAATGATTAACACTTTTAATTTAACTTTGTTCATTTGTCATTCACATAAATTATTTAAACTAAGGTCCCGTTCACTTCGCTGATTCGAGTTTAGAATTCGAATTGAGATGTAACTTTATGTGAGAGCTTTTTACTGTAGCAAAAAAGTTAAATGTGATTGTTTGTGAGAGCTTTTTACTGTAGAAAAACTCAAATATGTAACTTTATGTGAGAGCTTTTTACTGTAGCAAAAAAGTTAAATGTGATTGTTTGTGAGAGCTTTTTACTGTAGAAAAACTCAAATTCTAAACTCGAATCAGTGAAGTGAACGAGGCCTAAATGAACTAACGTCATACTCTTCTAATCGCGTCACACCCAAAAAAAAAAAAAAAAAAAAACATCCTTAAAACTAATAGAAGTAAATTTTTTAAGACTTATTCAATTTTTTGAGTTAAGGTGATTTGAGTTTAGATATTGATTTGAGTTAACATGTATTTGAGTATGGTTTGAGTTGAGACTCTAATTTGAGTTTGTATTTGAATGTGCACATTTTAAATTATGGTTTGAATTGAAAATCTATTTGAGTTTGTGTTTAGGAGGGTCAAAACTTGAATTTGTATTTGGATAATATTTTAATAAAAACTCAATGGTAATAGAAAATTTTAATAGGGTATATGGGTGAGGTTTTATTCGCCTTTTCGTTGTGAACGCATAAAAAAAATCATCTTGATCGGAATTAAAATGAAAAAATTATGACATTTTTAAGAATAGAAAAAATATTATTTATTAACTTAAGTTTAAGTTTAAGAACTTGAGTTGAAGTGTAAACTTGAACAACTTAAGTTAAAACTCAAATTCAAACTCAAATTTTATAAAATAAATATGAACTTGAATAAAATTGTAACTTGAGTTCAAACTTTTTTTGAGTTTGGGTGCAAACGGACAAAAACTCTCTCATAGTTTTTATTTTGTATTTTTTTTCTGGATTTTTTAGTCTCATAGTTGTAGGGAAACAAATGTTATTTTTAAAATTCGGAGACATATATCGTTAAGGCTCAAAGTTAGACATCCTATTGATAGTAGAGTTTAGTTTATTTATTTATTCATCTATTAATTTGTTTTTCTCTGGATAAACAATTAAAGGTCGCATCTAGTTTTTATTTATTTATTTATTTATAACTGCATCCAAAATGGGACTTGAAGACTCGTATCGATTATTGCAAGCAACTCATACACCCACTAAATACCAATAGTGTATTTCCAGAAACTATTAGTCATTAGATACCACACAGATCCTCTCAACATTTAGAAAACTCTTATCCAACAATTAGAGTGAACAAGATTACATAACTATCATTTTCAACATGTTTTCCCCCTTTTAGAAAAATAAATAAGAAGTAGAAAAACAAAATAAAAACATAAGTACACATTTAACCAGAAATACCTCCCTTTTTCCACCAAAATCAGAAACTTCTCCAGAAACAAGAAACCACATAGAGTAAGATAACAATCCGTGTGAAAACAAAGAACCAGCTAGTCGTCTTTAAGAGTCTGAGCACTCAGCTCCACTGTATTGCATCAAAGGAACATCCCAAAACCTCAAAATGGTTTGATCTCACCTCTCTTATTCCATAAAGATATAAAATCCCCACAAAAAAAAAAGCAACAAAACAACAACAACGACAACATCTTTCCCAGTCAGCTTTGTTGCATCCACTGCATTATATCTTTCCGAATAACTCCCTCAAACCTACTTTTGGTGTAATCTGATCCTAATGCTCCAACCCCATTGACACACAAGTGCCTATACTGTGTCAAAGAAGTACCAATAGGCTTTGGCATTCGCATCACAGAGATGCCGGAGAATGGTTTAGGCCAAACATTTTTGTAAGACGTAAATAGATGCCTATCAGATTCCTGTTCTCTTGATGTTTGGGGGTTCCCCGGACTTTTCAGTTGGGTGGAGCTCGATACCTGCTTTGTCATGCTCATGTTCGAGCTAGCACCATTAGAACATGGTGGAGGACCCCGGATCTGAGCCGATGGCTTCATTTGATCAAGCCATCGTAAAATCCAGTTTCCAAGATTTCGACCGACTTCTATATCCCTTTGCTGTACTTTGTAGTGAACCTTGAGTGCCACATCAAACACAACACGAGTTCGTCTATGAAAGATATAAGGGGGGGTAAGGGAAAAACCAAAGAAGGTGATTAATTCTGATCAAAGCAGTCGATAAACCAAAATCAAACATTAGTGAATAATAATGGTTACTATTCTATAAGAAGCAATCACAGCCAGTGGGAATATTAGTAGCAGAGTTTAGTGATTATTGTCTTCAAATGACACTGACAACAAAGGCTCCTGTAGGTTCTGTACTCTCAAATGCAAATTAAGCGACGGCATTAATAAGAAAGAGAAAGAGAATGATTAGCAATATTCTATCCAGATACTTAACCAGTGAAGCAATGGCCTATACTACTAATTTATTGTAAAAGAAGAATAAGATGATATTCTTTTACAACTAATTTAAAGTAGGAGTATAAAAAGACACTAAATCATAGAGAAAATAGCAGTTAAAAAGTATCAATTTCAGTGTAAAATATATGGCAACACCACAACAGGATCCCTTAAAAGTCGATAAATGATTGTTGCCTCCAACAAATGCTTAGGACAAAACCTAAATCAGCTTAAGACGCAGGAACTTTCTTTAGAATCTCTAAATAAATTCACAATAGTAACGCAAATTAGATAAATATTTAGTTCAAATAGAGCTATTTACTGTCTAATATCACATATACATGTTTTCCCAATAACGTAAACCAACAATTTGTATCTTAGATTCAGTCAAATTATCGTCTTATAGCGATTAGATTCCATGTACCTAGTTTGATCCGATCGCACAAAATAACTTTATAACCAACACACAGAAATGCCATTCAAGGATTCATCTACAGTTCCCAAAAAGCAGAAATCTACAAAAAGGGGTAAAAAAAAACACTAAACTTCCCCGATCAAACCATTCCATGTAATAATAAGTTTTTTTTTTTTTTTTTTTTTTTAAAATCCTCATTATTTTCTTACCTACGTTATATTTTTTTCCTTCCTTCCTATTTCCTTTCCCTATTGCCAAACACAGCAGAATTAAAGAGACCATAAAATGCAAACCATCCTGCAAGTAATTCAACATTGATTGGCTCGAACAAGAAAAAAAAAAAAAAATATAT